AAACTCTGTATGTATAGAAGTAATAACTCTTGGATGTAGCAGTCAGTGAGGGCTCTACAGATTTAAAAGTGCAATAAAATGTCCTGAAATTTAACTTATTTAAAAAGGCGGTATAGAGCTTTATTTATTGTGACATCTGTATGTATACATATGTGTGTATTTATAAATGAATAAAGCTTTTCATGTTGTAGAAAATAAGTAATAAAGCCATCCCGGATCCCATGAGTTAAAGAACGATGGATGCTGTTTTGGCATATAATCTTTGAGTCTTTGTTTCCAAATGCATATGTATTCTGTTATATTTTTACTTTTTTATATGAATTGTGTATCACCATTATAGAATTTCACCAAAATAACATTTGCCATTTAGTTATATGAGAACATGTTCAGGAGCATAGTTTATAGCCTTGATATTTAAAAGGAAGGAGTTTTCTCCTCCTTGTGTTAATTGGTCAGATCCCAGTCACTAGCAGACAATTAGCCTTTTGTTTCTCCCAAGGGACACCTTATTGTAGAGAACTTTAAAAATTCAGTTTCCAGGCTTTTCTCACTTCTGTAAATCACACTTAGATTCATGCTTTGAACATACACTTCCCTTTAAAAGTTTTCAGGGGTCCCTTTGAAGTAGCATTTGCCACCTTCTAGGCCCTCAGAGCAGATGGTGCCATCCATGAATTCTTTCTTCTGCCTCCTCTCAAAATCCCTCTTCCTTTTCCTGGAGGGAGCAGATGAACCCATTAAGACAGGTGCTGTTTCCACTCATGTGCTTCCTATGCAACATGTGATTTATACAACAAATCTTCCCACTGGGAACACAAAGTGTGTGTTTGTCTTAAGGAGAACCACTGATGTGCTATGAAGTTTGGGACTGAGCTTCTTGCTGTCGTCCAGCCAGTGTGGGGTGGCCAACAGTTAGCTCCAGCTAGACAAGAGCCACATCCTCTGATTTGGCCTTGGAGGATTCTACCAAATGGTGACCTTTTTTGAGTGTTTTCCATTAGTCTCCCAGCTGTTTTCAACCCATCTGAATAGTTTGGGATAAATTAAATTATAAATTGTATCAGAAGCTTTGTTCCAGCATTCATATTCATTAGATTTTAAAACCTAATGAATGCATGGACCCCAAACAAATGTTTGTCATTGTTTTAAAGCAGTCAAATGGAATGTCCTGATTTTTTACTTTTAAAATACTAAATTGTGGCCCATTTATATCCTGTAAAAAGTGTGGCTTTTTAAAAGTAGGTTTTTAATAACCAGTTAATAAATAGGAACAAATTCTCCTTTAAATTAAAATGAGTTTGTTTTTGTTGTTGTCAAATACAACTTGTGTCAGCTGAGCTGAGACCATCAGAATGTGCTTCAGACAGTTAATGGTGGAAGGGCCATTCATTCATTAGTGTTGCGCATGGGTCACCGGCCAGCAGTGACCACGGAACGCTGTGGATGGCTCGACGATAAACACGCGAGAAAAAACGACACATGCACAGAGACAAACTAGTTTCTGTGGGGAAGTAGGGACGAAATGGCCACCCCCCCTAGAGGGGAGCGCACTGATTTACCGTCCATACCTGCTTTTATTAGGCTCATTTTGCATAATAATTCAGGTAAAGTACAGTACTCATTAGGGGAAGTAAGGAACCATAGAAAACAAAGAACTCTGCCGGTCTATTGAGTTGGGGGTCAAAGAGCTGTAAGACTGAGGAACAAAATAACTTCCTCCTAAGACCCTTCTCATTCAACTGAGAGCATTCTAAACAAAGAAGGTTTCACAGTAATTTACATGTTCTTTCTTAGGCCTGATCACCCCGGGAAATCCGCACTTCTCAGTACCGAGCTGTACCACCCTGTCATTGTTTCAGGCTTAGGTGGAGCAAGGGAACTAAGGCAACCGAGAGACAAGGAGATTTTCTTCCAGACGCTGAGAACTCAGACTTTGTCAAAGCCGAGGAGTGAGGGTCCATCACCCCCTTTTGCTGCAGCCCTCCAAGTCCTTCTTTTGGGGGGGGGGCCTCCCAAAGTGATCGTGCCTGTCTTAGGTCGTTCCCCCCGTGGGGAATCTTACCTGTCTTTGGCTAACCGACCAAGCTTTTTGGGGTTCAGTTATGAATAAAGCAGCAGAAGCAGCATTCCTGCCAGGAAGATAAGCTTTTGTCTCCTTGCTGGCTTACATTTCCAAGGGCGTTCCCTTAGCCTTAGCTAGGCGGGGGTTTCAGCCTCTGATACCAGTCAGGGCGGTTCCCAACACATTAGTGGATATTTTTAAATTAATATTTCATTGTCTTAGCCAGATGTAAATATGGTACTTCTGATAAGAATACTAATTTAAGGCTAAATTCTGCCTATACTAGTCCCTGGATCCCTGCCTTTCCTTGCCCCACCAGAAATGTCTGTGTTACCAGTTTGGCGTGGACAGTCATGGAAGGCAACTGCTGTGCCTGTGTCCAAGTGCAGTTACACCTGTCTCCTTCCGCACCACCACGTGGCAGCCTGCTGTTCTCACTCAGCCTTGTGTTTCAGAAACTATCCATGTTGTTGCCCACCTAAGATGGCTCATTTCTTTTAACCTCTGCGGACTGCTTTATAGGTTGGCTGTACTACAGTTTATTTAGGACTTCCACTGGTTTCCAGGTTCCCTTTATATCAACAGTGCTGCAGTAAGCATCCTTATAGAGGCACCTTTGAACGTGTGTGTGTGTGTCTGTGACAGAGAAGGAAAAGTACCCTTTATTTTTCACATGTGAAAGTCTTTAGAGGCCGGCATTTAAGATGGCTTTAGTCTTATAAATGACTAGCAAAGTGTGGGTTGAAGCCATTTTCCCTGACTCCTCTTACCTACTTGGACATACTTTATACATTTTTGTAGAGAGTTATAGGGATCCTGGGTAAAGCCAAGTCTAGCTAACAATGGTGAAACTGTGTTCACTTTAATTGATGAATAAGGTCAGTCTGAATTGGGAAAAGTCAGAACTTTAAGATGTAATATTATGTAATTTTGAAGTACATACCACCATGAAACACACTAATATAACTTGATAACATTCATTAAGGATATCATATTAATGAATAAATAAAAAGCACTTAATAATTATTTTTAAGAATAATGACATATCTAAATTGCCCCACACAGTTCTTCTCATCCATAGATAAAATATCTCCCCTACAATATGTTTTATATTTTAACATTCTAGACAAGTGATTTTGGCTAGAGTAAAAAAACCAGAGCCACCTCCTCCCTGAATGGTGCCTGTTAGCAAAGGAAGAGAACAGGGGAGGACGATGGAGGGCCTACCCTGTACCAGGTACAAAGCTTTTAAAAATTCCATCCATTTATTTACCATAACAATCTTGGTGAGTCTTATTATCTCCCTCTCATAAATTGAGAAACTGAAGCATAGAGGGCTCTAAGGCAGCTCACTGAGAGTTGCCTCTTGAGTCTACTTGACTCGGAAGAGTAATATTCTATACTCTATTGTTGCTTCCTTAGATGCAATCCTCACACCCCCTGGAATATTTGTTCATATGCAGATTCCTGGGCCCCTGCCAGGTGAGGCCAGGGATCCTGCATTTTTAACAAGCTGCCAGGAGCACCTTAAGCACTCTGCAGTCCCAGAGACACTCTTCCAGACTGTGGTGACCTCATTTTGGTGATGTGATAAGCCCTGCCAAAAGAGTGCCCTCATGCCTTCAGGACCATTGACCCCTCTCAGGCCCCTACGAGGGACACATTCCCCTTGCTCCTTGTTGCGGCTTCTTCCTTACTTACCCACTTCTGGGGCTTTGTGCTACTTGCACTGAACTTAAGATTGGCTCATGGCTTGTCAAGTCACCTCACAAAGAATAGACATCTTCACACTATATGGGGATCATTTTCCTTAAAAAGGTTGAAATTTGCAGTGCAAAATCATCAGATCCCAAGGGCATCTTTGGTGTCTAATACAGTTGGAATCTGCATTTTGCATTCTAATCCTTGTTCAAACCAGAAAAGAAAAAAATGAGAGGGCAGCTTGCAGAAATGATTACTTTTGAGACACTGTTGGATGCTTCAGTTTTCCTTTCGGTACCTCCTTTGCTACACTCCCCTGGGGGTACATTTCCCATGCTCTGCCCCATCCCTTCGGACTTGCCTAGAAGTGAGGAGATCCCAGGTTCCTTCCAGCTGTCTTACTCCCACTAAGGACAGGGTTTTGGAAGAGCCAGCCAGGTTCCCTGACCATCTTTGTTCCCTCTGCCTTCCTCTTTCTCCATTATTATCTTTCTCTCTCAGCTCTGTAAAATTTCTCTTTTTTACTCCCCAACGACCTGCTTTCCCTGGGAGGGGCTGAGTTCTTTCCAGCAGGCTGAATAGGAGTTTGCTTGGATGAATGCTACACATAGAGAGGCGTGTCCATGACCCAGATGGAGATCCTAGACCAACTTGCATTTGTGTTCTGTCCTGGCAGAAGAGCATCGTCTTTGTTTTGGTGTTCTCCTCATCCAAATAAAGATGGCATTTCCTCTGCTGACAGGCAGAGAAAAAAAGAAAGAAAAGACCCCCCCCAAAAAAGAAAGAAATAAATAAATTTTAACCACTGAAATTAAATACACACCCCTTCCTCCGTTCTTATTGGTCCACTTCAATTGACAAGTGGATCGGTGGAAAGGAAATATCCTGGATTTAATTGTAAATTAAGTCTCTCTTAATCCAGAAGAGCATTTGAGATTCTGTCCAAGTGTTCAATTTCCCAGGCCGCCGAGGTCTGTGAATTTCTTTTCCCAGCCTCCAGGCTGCTGCAGTACAAGTCAGCATAGCTAATGCAGATAGATCTCCTACCTCCCGTCTCCTCCTCCCCTGCTTTGATTCGATATGAACAGCCTGGTAACTCCAGTGCTGGGGAGGAATCTGACATAACTCTGCAGATGGCTAGGTTGCCCTGAAACACCTGGGGGTTGTTCTTTCAGGAAAAGGTAACATTTATATGCTAATGATTCTCCCCCACCCCTCCTTGTTGCATTTTTTCCAGGACTGCCAGTTCCCAAGAAGAGCCCTAAATCGGTAAGGACTTGCCAGCTGCTTATTGGGAAGTGGGGGGCTGTTGGTGGTGGGAGGGGATGCTGTCTTGTTTGACTGGGCTAAATGTGTGTGTTTCAGAGCGGATGGGGAGACAGGAGCCTCCCACCGTAGATTAAGTTCTGGGGATCTGTTTAGTATAGAAGGTATTTGGGTTTGTCTTTAAACTGTAGTGATTGTGGGAAAGCTGCGGGAGCCGGGATAAAGAATGCAGGATTAGAATCTTCTCTATATAAATGCATTACAACTCTCTTTCAAATGGATGAGTTTCTTAGATGTTTTAACTTGAGAGAAATGCTATTGTGTCTTTTGGGAGGAGAAGGGGAAAAAAGCTCCATCTGCTTCCTGGGTAGCCTTGCTCTCAACTGGTGTTTCCAGTCATTCACATAGGTAGATGCTCCCCCTGAGCTTTCCTGTGCACTGGAGGATTAATGATTTACAAAATTAAAAAGCCTGTAGGTTTAAGGAAGAACTGTTCTGCCCTGTATGTGTGTCCATGTTCACATAGAACAATGTTCACTGCCCCAGCCAGACTGAGAATAAGCTATTCCCTTGCTGTGGAAGTCCTTTGTTGTTTTTGCTAGCTTTCACAGCATTATGCTGCAGGTATAGGATTCTTTAAAAAAAAAAATCAATGTTTGCTGTCCTTTCTAATCTGGGTTCCCTGAAGATGCATTACCTAGTTGACATGTTAGCTAATAGCTTAGAGGCTATAGTATTTTGATTGGTGGTGTGAGCTTCTCCCAGGGCACTGACAACAAATTAAAATGCTACTTAGAAAAATCTGGAACCCCGATGCCTATGAAATTGATCTGGGTGGAAGAGGCTTCCCAATTCATTGCCATTCAGATAAAAAGTAGCCATTTCCATGCGGCTTAGAATATTTGGGGGAGGGAAATTTTACAGCTTCCTGTCACTAGGAAAGGAGAACCTTAAAACTTTGTGGCTTGTGGCACTCCAGCTGAATTCTCTCCACCTGCCTCCAAGCCTGGCAGCAGGAGGCAGAAGTTTATTAAAGAGGTGAGAGAGGGAGCTTCCTGCATTCTGAAGCCCTGCTCCCAAGTACTTCTAAGAGAAAAACTGCAATAATTGATGTGATTGCAATGGCTTAGTGCCATGATGATTGGGACATGATGATTGGGACATGTGACTTCAGGGCTGCTTCCCTTGTCAGTTTGTGCTAATGTCTAGGCAGAAAAGTGCTGGTAGGCACCAAGATGCCAGAGCCTGTGTGTGTGTACGCATGCACATGGGTCTTCCCATCCTTGGGTCAGTCAGGAACCTGTTCAGCCTACAGAAAAGAGAAATCTGGAGGATGTATCACACGAGCTTGAGTTAGCAGGAGCCACTCCTTTTTCCCCCACCCTCAGCCATGCTACACGATAGACTTATTTTACACACCAACATGGAACGGAGTCTTGGCCAGGAGCATACTGGGGGAGATTCAGCAGTTTTGCACAGGACATCAAGTGGCATGGTGTTCCTTTCATTCTGCATCCCATTCAAACTTACCGTGCACGAGGATTTTTGTAGATTCATTTGTGACTCTTCTTCCCCAAAGTGTTTTGGAATTCCTTGCTGCACTCAAGGGTATCAGACAGGTATAGAGCCTGCATTCAGAGTCAGCTGAAAGAATTCCCTGTGACAGTTTATTTTTGTAGAAGCCATGTCATTAGCAAGAGCAAGCCAATTACTCAGACTGCATTCCTAGGAAAAACGCTCTCTCAACTGCTTTGCCCACAGTCTGCTGGCTCTTAATTACCTGAAGCCAAGAGGCTGGAGTGCTGCTGGGTTAGAAAAGAACAAGCCCCCAGTCCTTACCTGATATCTGTGCCAGGACAGGGATGATGGTTTTCACAGCACTGCTGGCACACTCAGGCACCTGCTGTACAAAATTTGGGGTATTTCAGCCAATGTCTGTTGCCGCCAGTGGAGCATGGCTGACATCTGTGATCAGTTAGAGCACTGTACAGGTGGGCTGAATGCTGTTTTCCTTTCCCAGTCTGAATTTCAGTGATGCCCTGCCAGAGAGACAGATGAGCATGGGGTTTTTCTAGTGGGGTCTGAGGGAATCCACGGGATGCTGCATGTCTTGGTCCTGGACAGGCATTCATGTAATGACAGGCGAGGCCAGGTTTGCAGGCTGTGGAGTGAAATGCCTGGGATGTGATGCGCTTAGATTCACCATCAGCTCTGTGAACATACTGTCTTACCCAGCAACATGTGTTTTTCTCTTCTTTTAGAGGCTCCTGACATTGTTGGCTTGCTCATATGACTGACAGCTTCTTTTTGCCCTCATGACTTTTTTTAAAAAATAGTGCTTTTAGTAATTAAGTAGTTGGGTTTTTATTAGAACAGAAGGACTTATCTTTTTGATCTAGGCTCCTCTCCTGGGTGGCCTTGATAGTTAATTCTTAATAAGCAATTTCACCTACTACATTTAGTTTAAATGTTGACTTTATGGTTTATAGCCTCACTGGGAACAATGGCACTGTCTTAATAAAATTGTATTAATTTAATGCTGGGACATCCAGAACATCAAATTTTCCTGCCAAATGGCAGGGACAAGAATAAGACATATTTGCTGTCAGGTTTTAGATCCTACTAGGAGACCAATTCTGTGGTCCAGCATAATCCCCCTGACTGGAAACTCATGTGGCAGAGTGTTGGTCTAGATCACACACAAAGATTTTGTGTGTGAGAATCTAAAACTCTACATATCATAGAAAACTCTGAATTTTAAGTTAATATCCATTTATGTTTTCTCACTTGTTCATCTCTCACTTGTACTTCTGTTTCTCCCTTCCTTCATCTGTCCACTTGTCCATCTGTCCAACTGCCATCTATCCATTTATCTACCAGTACATTTACCTTTTATTCATTAATTCAAATATCCATTCATTTATTTAGCAAATAAATGGACAACCTACAAAGTGCCAGGTTTTGTGTGGGGCACTGAGAAGCTATAATAAATAAGATGTCACGGTACCTTTGTTTTTGGAGCTTACAAACACAAACTGTATTAATTGTTACTTTCAAAAAATAGATTCATTGTCACAAATCACCAAAATGTTGTAATGCTTCTGTTCCAACAATAAATGTTAACTGAGTACCTTCTCTGTCAGACCAATGCTGGTATACAACAAGAACTAAAACAGAAGACAGTCCTCCCCTCCTGCCACTGAGGAGAGACCAACAGCCACACGAACAGACAGATCAACATAGACCCTCGTCACGGGGCTTAAAGTCTGATGAGCATATACTTTCACAAGTCGACAAAGCAGAACCAAGTACAAACTTTAATGAAAATCATTCAGCTCTGAATTGTAATAACCTAAGTTCCATAGTCATATAAAGCCATAAAAAGACCCATAATTGAGTTAGGTGCTGTGATTGAGCTGTGGAGTTCTTTCAAGTTCACTAGCAGCCTGAGCAATGTAGGAAACCACATTATTTACTGTGTCAGATCAAAGAAAGCAAACGATGTTCACTAAGGAGATACAATGTTCCCAGTTACTAAAAAACTTCTCATGTAGAGTCTTTACAAGGGGGTCACTGAATTAGGGGAAAGGCAGTCTCTCCAACAACCTCTTGCAAATCCAGCAAGTTGAAAGCTAGCTGTGGTGACAGGTTTCTGTTCCATTGTCTTCTGTTCCTTTCCCCTGGGAAGGATTGTAAGGACTTCACTGACTACTAGTCACTAAGAGACGTCAGGGAGAGCTCTCTAAGATACCCGTGCACCGTGAGTGAACCCAGGATGACTCATCCAGTTTTATGTGTCCTGCCTCTTTCTGAAACTCTCCCGGTTGTCAGCAGGACTCTGATGCCACTTGTCCTTCAGCCAAGGCAATAATACAACCCGTCAAAAGTTCCTGCAGGCTGCAAGGTGAGGAGTGGATGGGAGAAGGACTTAAATAAGCCTCCTTGTCTCTCACCTCCCACATCAACTCATACCCTCCACCCTTTGCAGCCCTAGAAAATAGACTTGCCAGTTGTGTTAGATGCTTTACATTCAGTGTGAACTAAAATTCATTTTCATATCCAGTCAATACCTCCCTTTTCTTCTCCATTAATTCCTCTTGCCTGCCTTTTTGGAAGAAGTTGTTTGACTTAGGCCTATGAATAATAAAAGAAAGAGCCCAAAACAAGGACCATCAGCTGCTTTGCCTTGTATTTGAGTCTCTGATTTCCGTACAACCTTTAATGACATTGGCCTAATATCGCATCAGCACTTGGAGTTTTTCCTGTTGTCCATGTAAATTGCTGCAGTGGCCTTCAATCTTGGCAGATAAGTGAACTGTAAATAATTTTGTTTTAAAATGTATCAATTTGTCATTTTTAAGCTATATGAATTCTTTTCATCATTAAAGCTCCTAAGTGCTGTCTATATTCATTTGCTCTTCCAAGCGAATATTTTCAGCTCACTTTATAAGTACCTTCATTTCAAAATAATTCTGTGAAATACTGATGAACTGATTTTTTTTCCTATTTCTGTTTATCAAGACCATTGCATCTTCCCGATCTCCCTGGCCTGTCAGTAGTAAGGAAATCATTCATTATAGGGAGATTGGTACGATTTTATCTTTAAAAGTCTTATGGCTAGTATGTGGCCAAGGACTCAATGGAGTTTTCAAAATCAAGCCCATTTCTTTTTTCCTAGTTGGTTCTGATTTTACATTCAGAAATTAAACTCTTGATTCAAAAATATCAGCACAGTGACAACAGAGCATTGGAAATACTCGTCTCAATACATGGCAACCCTTTCCAACCAGTTACTAAAGCCAGAACATGGGAATTGAATGACTATGTTTGTGAGATCTCTTCTTCCTCCTCCTGCCCTGTCCCCTGTTCAGTCTGTGAGCAGTCCCTATTGACTCTCGCAACAAATGTCTTTTAACTTCACTTGTCCCTCTGCCTCATCACTACCACTCCCATCGTGTAAACCTTGTTGGGCTCCTGCCCTGGACACACAGTAGATTCCTGACTGCTCTCTGCTTTCTCTCCCTTCCCCACCAACCTTTACACCACCCAGTAGCCAGACCAAACTTTCTGGATGCAAGGTGGCTCCTGGTGCATGCCTGCTTTCCTGTTGTTAATACAATTCCTCCTCCCCTGAACTAAGAATGAAACTCGGTGTCCTTAAAGTAGCCCACAAGGCCCTTACACTGTTTCATCTCCAAGTTCATCTAAGACTGCCCCGGCCCCTTCCTGTGCCACACTAGCCTTCTCTCTATTCTCAAACACTCCAAACCCATTTTGCTTTGAAGACTTAGCACATGCTGCTTCCATTAATGGAATGTTCTTTAGGAAGCCTCTTGTTACCTAGCTAAAGGGCACTGCATTATGTTGTTACCAGTCTGTTACAGTTATTTGATTAATATTTATCTATACATACAAACACACACACAACCCTACATACACACAGAGGTATATATTCTAACAGCGCAGCTACCATCTCTTTCTCATTTACATACTGCTTATCTTAGAATCTGACTCGCAGTAGGTGGTCACTCTGTACTTGTTGGAGGAGGGAATAAATATATTGAAGCTAGTTAGTTACTCAGGAGGAGGACCCAGGCTGGGTGTCCTGTCATTGTTGGACCGGGTGCTCCCTCCACCCCGATTCTTAGTTTGCATTCATTACTGCAACAGGCTTGAAAGTGCATCTTTGTCTACAGGTATTTGTCTTTGGGCCAGTTTTTCACCTAGAAAATGAGGTGAAAGCCAATCACATTAGATGCAGATCTGATCCTGGTCTCATAACTAATTCAGAAGTGAGTGTGTTCTCATGCCCCAAGTCTTCCGGGACATGATGCAGCCTGCTGAAGGGCACGCCAGTTGACTGAGATTGGAGATATAAACACAGACACAGCTTTTCTCCTGGACAATTCTGGGCTCTGACCCGATAAAAGACACTGCCAAAGCTAATTATCATGCTCACAGAAAATAAAAAGGCGTATTTTTGTACTTTTTTGTATATAGAGAACATAAAACTTCAGAAAGCCCAGAGTGCCAGCTAAATATTAAATACAAAATGCATCTTCAAATTAAGTAGTTTTCATAATTGAACTTGAGAAGAAACAAAGTGAGGTCAATCTTACCTAGGGGAAAATACCACAAGCGTCCAGACCATTATATGTATTTAGCCTTCTAAGTAGATACAAACGTGCCAGTTCACGAAAGCCCCAGTGTGACAGTTTTTAGGGCATGTTATGAAGATGCTGCTTTACTTTTTCTTTTCCAAATTTAAGAACCAAGTTTAGATGACATTTAAAAGGGTTGCAGAAGTGCAACTTGATTGTGAGGCAGTTTTCCAAACTTGTTTCCAACTGTATCTGTCATTTGGTGTTAAATTAGACCTATATGACTCATTTATTGGGGAGGTGAGAAGGGGCATTAAAATTTAAAAAATGGCTCAAACTGTGTTCACTAGACTTCATTTGCACCTGTGTTTATAGCAAAACTACATCTTCAATTAATTTAAGGAGGTCCAGTCCTCCATGTCAGAGATTAGTTACCGTGAACCAGCTGGGGAAGGGTCTTAAAACCCAGGAGGAAATGTGCAGACTCTGTGTGCATTGTGGGTACACGTGGAGAAGCTCATGTGCATTCTCAGCAGGAAAAAGGCCCAGCCTTTATCAGACTCCCTCTGGTGGGCAGGGTTGCCAGAAAGATTTTCTTCCAGTTCAGGAAGAGGGAACAAATGGAAGAGGTTAAAGTTGAGGTTCCAGGGACTACAGAGTAACCCCAGGAAGGAAGAAGTGTGATGTATCCCTCAGGTAAGCCTGCAGTGCAGCTCACCTGGGGTCCCCAAGAGACTTTGTAAAGAGTAGTGTAAACCTGAAGGAAACTGGAGCTTCAAAGATCAGAGAGACTTAATTGCGAACTGAAGGTAGTGTCAGGGAGACAGACCCCACAATGTGGCATTTACTAATTTGAGGGACCAAGAGAGGGTGGGCGTTTGAAGGAAGGGAAGCAACTCCCAGGGTAAATGGGGAGGTCCTTTATTGAATTATTTGCTTTTACATTTAAAATCTTCCCTCACCGCAGAGGTGACCAAAAACAAAGTACCACCAAAATGTAAAAATAGAAGTAATAATTCCCATTAATTTTTGTTACCAAGGTTAATTTCAAAATGAAAATAGCTTTAAATTTTGTGTCAATGATAGAAAGCATTCTCTGCATTCTAATTAAAAGTAGGCAACACAGGAAAGTATGGAGAGGGAGGAAAGCCCACCCGGGATTCCAGGTCCTTCTGTTTATGCTAATGTGTGTTCACACCCAAACCGGGCTGGTGCTGCTCCTGCTGGTTTTTAAAGACCACCCTGGTAATGATCACATGAAGAGAAAAACAAATTCCTATGTACTTGAAAAAGAGAATGGAGATTATATCTGCCATTGATGTTTTTTGATTCTGAAAATCTTCAGCATGCCCTCCAGGGGAAGCAAGAAGGCAGGTATTGACTTTCTGGGGCAGAAATCAGACAGCTGGCCCAAAGAGCTGAATTCGCTGCTGGGGAGGGTGCTGTTGGAAGTTGGCAGAACCAGGTTCTATTCCAAGTCTTTGGAATGCTGATCCACCCATGTCTGAGATGAGTAATTTATCCTCCAAGAGAAGGATGATTCCTGGGTCTCTGATGGTGTTTGTCAGCACCCAAACTATGCTTTTCCCAACATCCCCCCCCACAGAGTGTGTCCGGAGTCAGACCCCTCCCACAGTCTACCAAGACCTCTCTGCTAGTGTAGAATATGGTTCTCAAATTTCTGCCAAAGGCACACAGAAGAAAATTTTCAGTTGTCTATCTTACCTTTATTAAATGCATGCCCAATTTTCCTCAACTTTGAATCCTTGCCAAAACCTGATTTCAAATTGTAATCTGTAATTGTCAAGGGCAAATGAAGCTTTTGTCCTCCATGGGCTTTCTTCAGATACTTATTTTAAATTAAGGACTGGGCAGGGAGGGGCAGAGAGACCTGAGTTTTAAATGAAAGGGACCTTGGAAACTTCCATCAATATGGGGAATGAAAACTGGAGGATGCCTAGGGAGAAAGCAAAGAACTATTGATAAGATTCATTGAAGACCAAGGGGAAGATTTTGATTCTGTAAATAACTATAGAGACCCAGAATGCTCTGAGCCAAAGATCTTATAAAGTAGTTCAAAATCATGAGCTGTACAAGAGCCATAAGAGAGGACAGAGATTCCCTTTCCTGTCTTCTGTCCCTTCAGGATGCTCTTTAGCAGGTAAGTCTAGGGACATAGTATCCATCATGTGAGGGACAAGATCTCAGGGTTTAATTTGGAATAGGGGAAACCAAACAACTGGGCTTACAAATCTTCTACTGGAGAAAATAAGAACTGAAATTATTTCATATCCTCCCCTTAGTTTTTGCTCCCCATTCAAATAAAGAACATTTCATAAAATGGTAAGGGTCATTTGCTGGGTATGTTTTAAGGAATTGCTTATTTTGTTGAAACTTAAATGATATGCTTTCCCTTAGAATACTTCTTGGACTTTGGACAGAGTATAGATCTAAGAAGGCTGACTCCTTGAGTTCAATCTGTATATAAAGAACCAACAGTAGTATCAGGAGATAAAGACGTGAATTGATACCTGCAAAACTGATCACCTAAGAATTATGACAGCTCTTCATATAATAGTTATTTATATACTTATAAGTTCAAGTGCACACATAGTGATTTTTAAAAGATCTAATCTCCTTTTCTTACAGTCCACAAAAACTGATGGCAAACCCTTAGATTAGAGACAGGTATTTTATCATTGAAAGAATAATAAAAGACATGGAATCCCAAACGGTTTTTGGCACTGGTTGTATTTCTTTTGGATATCATAGCCTTATATTTAACTACTAGTGGTATTTTGTGTCACACATTTTGTGAAAAAATGAGGATGTTAAGACTGAGACATCTCATCATAAATTAGCCCAGTGTCTTAGCCAAGAACCTTTGATGAAAATTGGATTTGTTTTCTGCCACAGCCCAGAGGGCAGTACAATTTGTGATTATGTCTTTGCATCTGGCCCACCCCCTCTCCGTGAGCTGATCACTTGGGGTTTTATCTGCATTCAGCATTGGCTGGAGGAAGGTGGAAGCCAAAGTGTTGTTGATGTGTTTGTGTATGTGTGTGCAGAAATGCTGAACAAAGACAAACTGAGGGAAAACACCCACTTAGAGAACCAACAGTAATCTTCTGTTCTTGCCCTTCTCACTCACTCACTTTCAGCAACCTCTGGAAAGAAAAGACAGCCAGAACAGTTCCCAACACAGTGTTTCCAGCCACCGAAGCCTGCACACAGCGTCCCCCAGCCACAGCACACAGGTGCTCCCTGAGTACCCACCCGCAGAGGCCCCGGCTCCAGATCAGACCGACAGCACTGGGCAGAAAAAACCAGATCCTTTCAAAATCTGGGCCCAGTCCAGGAGCATGTATGAAAGCCGACGTGAGTAGCACTCTGGCTGCTGCCTTTCTGCGACCCCACTCCAGGGCTTCAACTCTCTCTCGAGGCTTATTAAAAATAGATTTTCAGTGTGTAGACTGAACCGAGGTGAGAGGTGAACGCTTCTCAGCAGTGAAAGAATCTGCTGGATAGTCATGGGGGCTCCATTATGTCCAGTTTGGGGAGGGGCAGATATGGATGGCCATCAAATAAAGGGCCTGGATAATAATGGATTTCTTTTTCTTTTCAGTTTAAAGAAGTAGCAGATAAGAACTGCTGTCTCATTAATTCTCCCCTGTGTGGAGATTATAGCATGCTCTTGTTAAACAGCTCTGATGTACAATACAACATAAATATGATTGGTTCAGATTGCAGGAGTAATGAGATGAAATTAAGTTCTTTCTTAGTGGTTTCTTAGTTTTTAAGAATACTGGTATTTTTTTTACCAATATTATCAGTCTTTTTCTAAACATTCCCCTTAAAAAAATTTGAGTGGTTTGTACTTTAATTATTTATACTGTGGTTTTAATTATGTTCCTCTGGCTTTACAATTCCAATAAATACGAGCTAGTGATGGCATGCATCATAACTTTTTGATTCTTATAAACAAAATATTAACTTTATTATGAAGTGATTTCCAAAGACTGTTCACCATAAAAATATTCATTTAATTTATCACTGATGAAAGTCCCTAAAATGCTTTAATTTGGGGGCATACAAACAGGTCCTTTTTTGGCTGTTGCTATTGCTGACCTTTTCTCCTGAGGATGATTGGTCAGTATGAAGCAACTATGGAGGTCATGTACTTCATTTTCCCTTGTTGGACTGGAATAGGAGAGAATGTTTAAGGATGAAGGAGGCATTTGGTAAAGGGTCTGAACAAAACTGGAAGGGAAAAGAGAATTGTTTAGCACATCCTCTTTGCCCCTCCCCCTCAACACAGGTGTGCTACCTCTCCAGAGGCCCCTGGAGAGTGAGGCACAGAGGAGGTGGGACAGGGGCAGGTGCCCCAGCTCTGGCACACCCCCTCAGATGTGGCTAGGAAGCATTTCCCTGGCTGGCTGGAGGAACTCCTCTGTGACCCAAACAAAACACAAAATGGGAACAAAGCCAGCATCCCTGTCTGAGAAGGAAAGTTGGCCACACTACTGGGTGCATTTCAGCAGTTACGTTTCAACAGTTGCACAAGGCAAGTTGGAGTCTAGCTGATTATCAAATTTTAGAAGTCACTCAGGGGTCTCTCCATCATTTCCTCCTCAAGGGGAAATATTGCCCTTTTCTCCTAACAGTGTGTGGAATTAAATAGGCTATTTTGGCTAAGGGTTCTCTATGCCAACAAAAGCCACATAATTTGGGAAGGGATTTATTTCATCCCTGGACTGGAAAGACCCTGGAAGACCGTAACCCTGGCAGCCCCTTTTGGAACGTCTCTCAGAAGCAGTAGTTTCTGAGTTATGGACCTGGAGTCTGTTCTCACAAACTGTAGCAAGTTCATTGAAGAATTGTGTTCCAAAGAGGATGTTTGAGAATTCTCATAACCATGTGGCTTCTCCAATCAATGGCCCAACTTCTGTTGATGTTGAGATGCTGCGTTATGGACCATGCCTCTGCTTTTCTCAGTACAGCGCACATTTAGGACTATAGGAATCTTTTTGTGATAAAATAAATCGCATTCTGAAGCACTGGTGGGAACATCACAGTTGACAGGTGATGCTAATGCATCCAGTTAACAGGAAGCTGCAGCTCAAATGCCATTTTTACCCTGATGGAAGCAAAATTTCTTCAGAATTTAGTATGTAATCCATTTTTTTAAAAAAATGTTTTCACCCCACTCCCCAAACACTAAGAATCTTGCCACAGCCAGACACCTTAAGCATCAGAATTGCTCAGGGGGCAGGCAAACTGAAACATTTGGGGTGGGGCTGGTTTCGCATCTCCCCTTTCTTTGCCACCTGAAGGATCCAGCAGCACAAGTGACAATCGATTTCTGTTTGGTGACTGGAGACTCGGTAATGGAGTGATTGTAGTTATGTAACTGATGTTAAGATTTGCTTGGGTTTCTTCCTAGCTGCTAAATGAGAGTAACAATGAGACTTTTTCCCACAATGGTAATTATTCTGAGTCTGTCACAGATTTCCTACTTTTCATAGTACCAGTGCTGTGACTGAGCCTACGTCAATCTTGCCTTTTATTTAGTATTTTGCTTCATCCCCAACATGTTTCTGATATTCCCTTGGTTGTTTTTTATCTTGTTTTTTGAAGAAAAAAAATGTGTAGCCTAAGATGTGATTTGCTGCCCCTTCCCCCAAGACATTACAATAAGCAAAGTACTCCTAGAAAATTGAAGTCAGTCCTAATACCTTAAGTGTACCCTTAATTTATACCCCTTTTCAGGGGAAAATATATTTTCCTTATATTTCATTTTATTATGAAGGGCAATGTGAAGACTGATACAGTCTGATCCATTTCCCTCACATGGTCTAACTACTGTGCAAAATATTCTTGATACGGCCATCTGTCAAAACAGCAGTGTCCAATGAGTCAATCTGGAATTACAGATGTATTAATAAACCCCTCTGAAGGGCTTACATGTTTAATTAAAAACAAAGGCAAGTATGAAAGTCCTTTAAAAGCCTCATTGCCAGTTTTGTGTTTTCTCCAGGTAACATACCTATTGTATGAATGTTTTGAAAAATGACATTGATGCAATCATACTGGTTAATGTTCAGGACCAGATAGTATCCACTAGTGTTTACTCTGAAAGAAAGTCTAAAACTTCCCATTGAAATTTTGCCTGTTTACAAACTAGTTTGGAAAGAAAAAAACATCCAAGCTGTCATATTAACCAAGGTAAAGCTGCACTGCTCCGTGGAGACGTGTTTACGTATTTGGAACTGGTGGACAGGCTTCTTCCTCGAAGTGAGTTTAAGGAGCCTTGTGTGCACTTCGAGATTTTAAGAGCTATTATGACAGCTCTCATTTGTGTGTGTTCAACCTTGGCCAGATCTGATGATTTGCGCCTCCAAATAAAAAGCCGTCCTGGTTGAACTGCATAGAATTCACCTGAACAGGTATTAGCACAGGAATGTATTCCATCAGGAACAAATAAGTGCCACAGTGTGGCAGTTAAAAAAGTATACTCAATTTTTTTAAAAGAAATAAGTGTTTAGATGACTCTAAAATTTATGACATGATTAAAACAGTCATACAAGAATGTACACTTTGGGGTTTAATTAAATATGAAGAGTCTTAGATGGTAATGGGAGTTCAATGAAATTTCCAACACTACAATAGTAATTTCTAGCTTTTTGACAAGAAAAGCACCATGGGATAAAAAATAAAGCAGAATCAAACTGTAGTCTTTTAAACTTCACAGCAGCCATGACCTTTACTGTGAAAGCTTAACTGCACGTTCCTTATCAATCAAAACGAAATTAACATGAACTAAGAGAAACCACATGCATTAAGCTTTGCAAAATTGTGAAATTAATATTCCAGCTATGTCACCTTCGCCAGCATCGGGATTGAGCAAGGGTGAAAGAGAGAGAGAAATCAATTCCACGAATTTTGGAGAATGTCAGAGTAAGGATTCACTGAAAATTTTTTCTTCATTATATCCATCCTGTTTGATGTTCCCATTGGTCTGGGGGGCTGGGGAGAAACTCAGAAAGAGAAATGCCATGAACAAAAACGTTTTGCTATTCTTGTGGACCAGGCATGGACCAAAGAAAAGATAAAATAAAAAATGATGGGCATGTTTTTTGCTAAGTCTGAAAATGTGTGTTCTGTAGTAATGGAGACACTGAGAGGTTTCTCTGCATACCTGGTGATTCCATTCTTTCTAATTATCAAAGGAAGTCTTTCGCCACTTTATTCAGTTGTTGCTTGCATTACCAAAGGATATTCACTGCTGAGATTGTCTCCTATGCAAGGGCTTAAAAGTGAAGAAAGCTGGACAAGGTTTTCTTAGCCTTTTTTATTTAGCCTCACTGAAAAGAAAAGCAAAGTGATAAAAACATCAGAAAGATGGTTCTACCCTGCTACTTCCTAAAAATGTAATTATAATGGAATCTGCCTGAAATCAAGAAGAGAACAAACCCTGTTGGGGGAGTACTTTAGAAACCTCAGTGCCCCTGGCAGATGAGGATGCACAAAAAAAAATTCTGTAATTCTCTATGTGGCAGCACCACTTTATCACCAAAGTTACACACTTGTGTACCTGGCATTTGGTTGGTGGAAGAAGAGTATAATTGTTAAAATGCCAAAACTGAGGTGCCAAAAGACTTTCTTTGCAATATCTCTGTGTGTTGGTGTATTGTGTTTGTGTCTCTGTTTTTCTGGCTCATCACTGGAGTCCTCAACAGTCTTGGTGTCATTGGGCATCTTGTTTTTCAATAGGAAGCTTTTTAATAAATTTGCCATTTCCCACTGATTCATAGAGAAAGACAGATGCTTTTCTCCTATGGACTAACCTGTATGATAAGTCCAAGTCAATTGGCTACAGCCACCCAGACAGTGCTAGCTTACACCTAACTGAACAGTATAAGGCAAAAATGTGCTACATTTGGTGTCATTGTAGGACAAGTGAGTGTTCCTGGGTTAAATGATGCTGGGAAAAATGGGTGTGGATGGGCTGCAGTCTCTGCAGAGTCCGTTTCCTTGTTCGCAGAAAGGCCCCGCAGACTCAGGCCGACTCTACCTGGGCCCTGGTGCTGCCTGGGAAGCCCTGTGGCCTGTTTTGGTAATAATCCTCTGCTTAGAGGAAACAAAGATGGAAACCTAACTTGATTTAATTTGTAGTTGCAGTGAGTCCATTACAGTAAATATCCTTTAGCCAGCTACTCAAACAGAAAGAAAATGTTTCCTTCGTATGCTCAAGAAAATATCATTCTCAAATCATTTATGGGAGTGCCATGATGTAGCTTAACTCCATGTCCCATGGTGTCTTACAGCTTAGCCTCGGCAATTATAATAAAAAAGCATTGGATGAAAAGCATGGTTGAAAGCCATGGCATTAAGATAGCTCAAGCAAAATACCGGATTCAAACCTCTGACATGTATTCACCTGTTTACCTAGCTGATTCTTTCTTGGCACACTCAGTCACTGTACATTTAAGCTTGTAAACAAGTCACTGAAGAGGGATAGCTCTCACTAGTTTGAAATATAAACACCGCTGCCCTACTCCCTGTTCTATCGTACAGACTGGAGGTGATGAGAGCTAAATGCTCAGGCCCATACACTGCTTCAGCCCAAAATCCAATTAATTAAATAGAGCAGAAAGTGTGTAGAACGGTATTTGAAATTCTTTAAGATTCTCTGCCATTAAACTATATTTTTTCTCTTTAAATAAAAGATATGTCATTTTACAGACTATAAAACACTACATATTAAAGTATTAAATAAAAATTAAATAGAAATAACCCTTTTATTACCTTTAACACAGTGGTATATAGAACAATTTCATGTAAAGTGAGCATGTTTTTATGAAAATTGCTTTTATTTTTTAAATACGAGATTTAAAAAAATTTAAACCCTGAACTATTGAGTTTTAAAAGTAAAATATCAAGTTATTTGATAATAAACTAATACTTTGAATGTTGAAACACTACAGCAAGCTCAGGAGTAAAGCAGTCAGTCGTTTTAACAATGAAGTATGGTTCATTGATGCAGAACAATTTTTTAAAGATTTATTTATTTATTTATTTATTTATTTATTTATTTATTTATTTTTAGAGAGGGAATGGAGGGAGAAAGAGAGAGAGAGAGAGACATCAATGTGAGGTTGCTGGGGGTCATGGCCTGCAACCCAGGCATGTACCCTGACTGGGAATTGAACCTGCGGCACTTTGGTTTGCAGCCCGCGCTCAATCCACTGAGCTATGCCAGCCAGGGCTTGATGTAGAACAATTTGTTGTCACCATAAATCTTAGGTTATGGAAGTCTGGCTACTTTTTGGTAATAGTACTGAAACCATAGTAAACTTTGCAAATTTGGAAATATTAGCATGTTTAAGACTAACTTTTTTTTGGCAAAGATGATCTAACAAATCAAATTACTGGCATTGCTGGTCTTGATTACTTTAAAGGAAAAAGAAGTAATTTTTTTAAGGGAACACTTTATTGCAAGCTTTTTGTCTCTTTTTTAGTTGCTATAACATCAGGCGACTTAACGGGCCTCCTAAGTCTGCCGAGCCAGCCCCTGCTTCAGAGGTCGCTCTGACTCGGCATCTCTCTCTTGGACAGGGGCATCCACAGTGCAGTACAGCACATGATGATTTTAATTAAGTCTCCTTGAACAGTGCCGAGGAGAGCAGTCAATGCTGATTTCTGGCTTAGTCAGAGATCATGACTTGGTCTTGATTAGGAATTATCAAACAGTTGATTAGTCTTTTGAAAAAACTTAGGGCTCAATGACTACTCCCATTGTTCCCTTTCACCCAGCATCCTCCATTACTTCACATCCAGTTTCTGTTGTTGCCTTGTCTGTGTTAGAAAACTGTCATCTGCTCAGCACCATCAGTGTTGGTCCTGTAACTGTGTGATCTCAGGGGTGTGATTGCTTTGATCAGAGAAGTAATCTCTCTTATCCTTCTCCCCTCTCTAGGTCCAGATTACCAAGAACAGGATATCTTCCTCTGGAGAAAAGAGACTGGATTTGGATTTAGGATTCTTGGTGGAAATGAACCAGGGGAACCTGTGAGTCTTCTGCCTCCCCTCCTCCCTCTCCCAGTGTTCTTTTCTAAGACTTCAAAGCAAATTGGCAGCAGTAACAAATCACCATGATTGGAGTCCCTCTAGGTGTAACACTGCTTCATCTCAGGCAGTGGAGGTTTTCCTTAGGTTTTGTAGAAATGTTTTTGTCTTGAGGGAAGAGACTAATATTAGAGAACAGGAAGAGTTCATCTACCCGGTGCTAGCAGAGTGAAACACTAGACACTGAGAATTGCAGTAGAGAAAGACTGGGTATTTTATCATGAATGGCACCACTCAGGAGAGCAGGAAGCTAATATTCAAAACAGCGAACTCCCTGAGGGCATGTAGGATACAGGTTATACAGGGAAAAATCACAAGACACAGTGGGTTAGGGGTTCAGGGTCGTTCTGAGAGCTGATTGGTGGGAGATGAGGTAAGGGTAGTACATCATTTCTTATAGGTCTTGAGCACAGCTCTGAGGTCTGTTCTGGCATCCCTCTTTCCAGTCTCATGGGAAAATAGCCAGGGCATTGTTCCACTTAGGCCTCAGGAGCTGAAACATAACTTAGGTCGAAATGTTATCTTTATGGTGCCAGAGGTCCAGACCCCTGTGATCACTAGTCAGGTCTGGGCTCCTGTCTTCTGCCATCTTGGGGGTTGCTGATTACCTGGGGGAAAGGCTAAGTCTCTGAGGGGTATAGACACACAGAGAGATGATTTCTAGGGCTAGGATTTAAAGCTAAATTTAATCAAAGATATAAGGATCCTCAGTTTCACTAGATCCAGTTTCTAAAAGGTTTATGTTAACATATGTGAAAACTGGGAGCTAATACATCTGAAGAGCCCATCAAAGAAAATGAAACCAAACAGCTAAATAGGAATTGGTATCAATTAAGAAAACAATGGCCAATTCTGTTAGATTTGCCACTGCCTTCATGTATTGAATAGCACCAGCAGGGAGAGCACTTCACAAGGCATCATGAGAGATTAGGGAAAGTAGGACCCCCCTCTTTACAAAAGAAGAGAAAGAATCCTAAACAAGAATCAGGAGACATTTAACCTTGCTGGGCCTCATCTTTAGAATGAATTTAGGATTATATCACAGAATTCTTTTGAAAGGGGAAAAGAAAACTAAAGAAAAGTATTAATTCTCTCATCGTAATAAAATAACTATTATTTATTGAGTACTTACTCTGTGCCAGATGTTATGCCAAAGGATTTTAACATACATTCTCTCATTTATCCTTCAAATCCATGAATTTATCCCACAATTTACCCCACTTTCTATCAGCAAGTGAATACACAAAAAGATTAATTAACTTCCCCAAGATTATAGAGTTAGCAAATGGAAGGACTGGAAAGGGTCTGATTCTGGAGTCCGTATTTTTCACAAGTCTTTTTGTCAAAGTTCTTTGTAAACTATACAGGTCATGCAAAGGTAGCTATAGTATTATTACCTAACAAGAAGGCAAGGAAAACACAAATATTTCAACTGAAGTTTAGTGGAAAGTAAATACAATAGCAAGGCACTGCATAAAGACTGCTTGGATACAGGTGCTGGGAGTACAGAAATGGGAGTGTCAGACCACACTTTGCTTGATTCATTTCTTTATTTAACAGTATTTATTGTGCATTTGCTATTGCAAGTCACAATGCTTGATTTTAAAGAAAGTAGTATTATAATTAGCAGAGTTTTCTGAAAGGAGGGTCCTTAGGTAGATAGAAAAGGAACAAGGATTTTGCAAACAAAAGTGATTTAATTTTGCAAAGGAGAAAAAGAGAATCACCACCACGGATAAGTGTCATGGAACCAGATAAGAAAAAGTTGTTTTTTCCCACCTTGTGAAAACTGTTGTAGTACTAGCACAATGCCTAGTGTCCAGTGGGCACTCAGTGAATGTTTCTGGCATGGATGCAGACATGAATGAATGAATGGATTAAAATGTTCTCAGAGATATGAAGGCTGTCAGTATAATAGCAAACCAAAAGATCAATGTTTTATCCATCCTCCAATTACTCAACAGATTTATATTGGTCACATCGTACCACTGGGTGCTGCTGATACGGATGGCCGCCTCAGGTCAGGGGATGAATTAATCTGTGTGGATGGGACACCAGTAATTGGAAAATCACACCAGCTTGTGGTCCAGCTTATGCAACAAGCCGCCAAGCAAGGCCATGTCAACCTCACAGTGCGGCGTAAAGTGGTATTTTCAGGTATGTTTCTCATTCATTCCTTCCAACAGCATTGTCACTTCATGCACAGAAAAAGGTCCCTTTCTGTATCTGCCTCCTCAAGCATCTGTTTTAGCAAATGTTTGCAAATGTGACTAAGCTTAGAATTTCCAGACAGTTTACTTCTCTCAAATACTGCAAAACTACTGTCATTCAAAAGTACTTCAATGTGCCATTTGTACCTGTTCAGCCAAGACTTCTAGAAGAAGGCTAGTTGAAACTATATTACTTCCCCCAACACCTCGCCAGCTAGAACCTTGCTGTCCTCTTCATCTGATGATAATTTTCAACAAAAGAGGTCACTATGACAGTCAGGAGCATTGTAACTTCAAATTAAGAGAATAAAAATTAGGTTTGTGCCACAAAATAAGCTCATAAAAAAGTTACTCTATTGTCAACAGTAATATTTATTAATGCAAGATTTTTTTCTCCTCTATAAGAAAGGTATAAAGCTGCCCCTTTCTAGGTCATACTTAATTCATTCCTCCTATAAGCTTCGAAGTACTTGAGTTCTCAAAATACTACATATTCTTTCAGGCCCAACTCAAATATAACCTTCTCTGTGACACCCTTGGAGAGTCCCTCCTTCCTCCAAATGCCTCCAGATTTTAGCATTTACTTCCTTCCATTCTTGTGAATCAGGGTTTACTCCTATATCAGAATCTGCCAGGTAATGACAGTTCACCATGTGTCAGTCTTTGCCACTGACTCTCCAGCTCCCTGAAAGCACACTGTTGGTGGTTAAACTTTGTTTGCAGCCCCCACCTCCAAATATCCAAGACAGAACTCAGGAGGCCGTAGAAGCAGTGTTGTATCAGTTGAATTACTGAAGAAGTGTGATATGAAATAATATGAATTCTCTGTAGTTTTAATATTAGTCAAATAAATACTTATCAGATAAAATCAACTGGAACCTTGTCAAAAAAAAAAGAACAAACTAGTGTAAGTCATTTAAATGGTATATCATTCATTACAGAATGAAGATGTCAGGTTCCAGTGTGAGAGTCCTGCCTACTGCAGCTGTGGGAAAATGTTAATCATTTAGGTCCCTGATGCTCACTTATGGCCTCAGAATCTTTCTGCAAATAGTATTCCATGCTGCCAGTAACAGTCAGTCACAAGTAGCTTTTGAGGTGTGATGAAAACTTTTTAACTTCACTGGACTAAGTAAAAATAGTAGAGCAATGTGATTTTTGTCTATTTCAGAATTATTTTTAAAATCTTAAATATTTTGGGTATTTAGCTCTCAGTCAAAGATGTTAAATCTATGAAGAGATAAACTAGTCACAAAAATGCAAATGTTACATAATTCAACTTTCTTGTGGCACCTAGGGTAGTCAGATTTATGGAGTCAGAAAGTAGAATGGTGTTTGCCAGGAGCTGGGGGAGAGGGAAAAAGTGACTTGGACTTTAATGGGTACAGAGTTTCAGTTTTGGAAGGTGGTGACAGAATTCTGGAGATGATGATGGTGATGGTTTCACAACAGTGTGACTACTTAATGCCACTGAACTGTACACTTAAAAGTAGTTGAAAGGATAAATTTTATGTTTCTATTTTACTACAGTGAAAAAGAAATCTAGGGAAGGGCAAGATTTCTTGAATAAATGTAGTCTTATCCAAGGCTATGCACAACACATTTTGGTTTTGTCATGAAACATAAATTGGTACCACCAACGATTGTGGCAGTTTAGGAGTGCTTTACCCTGTCACCTGACAAAGCAATCAAACTGGGATTTTATAAAACGGGAATGCTGAGGGAGGCTGATGGGTCCAGTGTGTGATCAGAGCAGATAATTGACACCTGGAAACTAGGAAGTATACCTCTGACAGATGTCAGATTTCCCACAGGATGGCAACCTCAATGGTACTGTCAAGTTACCATCTCTTGCCTGATGGAAAACTCAAAAGCAGAAAATGTTTGGAAAGCTGAGTAGGCTGAGACTTCTAGGTAACGGCAATATTAATGTGCTGCCCTGGGCACTTCTCTGAGGCGAGGTTAGGGGTCATCCTTGGTATGGGGCACACCTGCACTTCCTCTGGGTTGCCTTTGATTTTCGCCCAGGGGACACTTCAGAGTGTTGCAGCTGGAATCTGAGTGTGGATATTGACGCATTAGTGTGCTGTAGACGAGAAACGATTTCGCTGTCCTTTTTGGCATTTTTCCATGGGTCATTGTCAGTAAATACTGAGAAGTAAATACTTTTCCCAAGAAGCCATTTGAAATTCTTCTATCTGGATTCTGTGAGGCCATGTAAACCTCCTGACCTCTTGCCCATGCACAGTTGGGAGAGGAGGAGGAAGGATGGCGGGCATGCATTGGGCCCAGCCAGGTTACTGAGAGGCACATACTTTGTTTGCACAGCCCCCAAAGCAGACACGGAGGTACCCTCGCCAGCCTCTTCCCACCACAGCAGCACGCAGCCCGCCTCCCTGACCGAGGACAAGCGCACCCCACAGGGCAGTCAGAACTCCCTGAACACGGTGAGCTCAGGCAGCGGCAGCACCAGTGGCATCGGCAGTGGCGGGGGAGGGGGCAGCGGTGTGGTGAGCACGCTGCAGCCCTACGACGTGGAGATCCGCCGAGGGGACAGCGAGGGCTTCGGGTTCGTCATAGTGTCCTCAGTGAGCCGGCCTGAGGCAGGCACAACCTTCGGTGAGTGCTGCCAGTTTTTCCCCAGTATCATTAAGTTCTTCCCCAGTATCATTAACAGAAATGCCTCCCTGCTTTTTGCTTCAGGTAATTAAAGTATTAATTGGGGATGCAGTTTATTTGGTAGCTTTTCCCCTCCTGGAGGTCGAAGGGTTTTTTTGGTAACCGTTTAGCATCCACTCTGAACACCTGTAAACACGCACGCAGCAACCTAAAGCATACGTGTAATCTGCATGAAATTTGCAGAACCACCCCTTGACAGTATAGAGAGTGAGAAATTCTTGCCAAGAAAAACCTTTTGCAAGGTCCTGGGTGAGATATTATTGATTTCAGTAGCATTAGAAAGTCTGAGAGTTTTTAAAAGAAGCATATGGCTATAAAAATATGCTTAGAAAAAATTAGAGGTGTAAAGAATAACAATATTATATGAAATGCCCTTTCCATTTCCAAAGGGAATGTGTCCTTTCCCTACTCTATCCCCATCTGAAATTTTTAACTTTAATTTTAAATAATATTTTTACTGTCACCTGATTAGGAGTCTAATTCAAATCTGACAGCCATTTGTCTTCATTGCCCTTGAACTCTAACAAGGGTGATTTCCCTGTCTCATCCATGTTTTAGGGATTTCAGCAGAGTATAGAGAAACTCAATTGTCACACTCTCAAAAGGTTAACTCTCTGCTGGGTGCACCAGCAGACACAAAGAGGAAAGGAGGTGATTCCAGGAACTACTGATCTACGAATCTATTTCCAATTGAATGGATTATAAATATGTACTCCAAGAATGATCCACCATCATTGGATAAAAAATCATTTGTTATTCTCCAAGCATATTTGCTGATATAATGGGAGGCTGGAAGGGCTGTGCAGGCTTTGAAATGTACCTCAGCTCTATCCCCAAATGACTCACCAGGAATATGAGGAGCAGTGACCCAGGGCACTTGCTGGCTGAGTTCAGCTACAAGTTCCATCCTTTAGCTTCCTCCTTCTGTAGAACTCCCTTGCCTCTGTCTGTTGCTTCCTGCTAACCCTGTTTTCCCTAAGGCTTGTCCACAAGGAGACAAGTGAGTCAGCAGGTCTATGCATGTGTGGCTGCAGTAACAAACACCCATGACTAACACTGCTTTTGTGAGCTACTTTAATAATCCATGGATGGGTGACATGGCATCAAGGCAAGGATCTTTTGTTTTTAAAATAATTTTGGAGACTCTTCTGTTTAATTTAAAAAATAAAAGGAAAGGCAGGGGGTGTGAGAACTCCCAAGTGAAACTTCAGACCCACATTTTTAGTGTCCCCGTGTACCCTTTAATGTTCTTAGGATTTCAGAATTCTCAGTTTCACTTTTTAGAAGGAAGTAGCAGGTATGTCAGGAGGTGGGAGGCTATGTGTTATTTAATGAATATTGAATGTCTTCACTCACAATTGGTCTTTGATTGTTTTCCTCTGGTTCTTAACAGTGAATGAATTAAACTATCCCACATACCTTGCATGAGACTTCTGTTTCAAGCTATACAGAGCTTTCTACATACCTGCTGTTTGATACCTTTCTCATTTGGGTTGTCCTTGGAGATGGGCTAAACTTAAGATCTTGACTTTGAGTATGAAACTTTCTACCATACCTGCTTGTTGGATTCAGAAAAAAAAATCTAACTTCATTTTAAAAAACTATTTTGACATAATGTTACATTTAATAATAAAAGCTCAGGCAAATATGCTGAAATTCAAATGGATTACAGCTTATTTTCCCACACATTTTATCCTCAAGGTCCAAATTGTGCTGGAAGAGCCTGCTTAGTTTTAGTGTCTCCCATGTTAATTTTGTTACACTTTCCAAAAGGTGGCTCAACTGCATAACTGTCTTCATAGTCCCCAGAAAGACAAATTCCCAAAATTGGTGAATATGAGTGAGAAACTTGGAAACTAATACACGGTTAGCTGAAAACTCTGTGTGAGTCTTTAAAACCAATTTTCCACCTCTCTCAGAAGTTAACAGTGCTCTTGGTTGAGACTTGGAATCCCTCAACATGCACAATAAACCTACCTTTTCAAATGGACTCTCCCTGGTTTTTCATGTTATAGATGGGTAGAAACTGATAATGTGAAAGGCAATGATTAAAGGAAAAGTACTGAGAAATGATATGAACCTAGCTTTGGATCACTGTCCTCAGCTTGAGTAGGAACTAGGTTTTCATATTCCTTTGAGATTTTTGGGAGGATAGAGGATGATTTCAGAGCTCATGAGCCATTTGGGCCCTACCCTGAAAGCACACAAGGTAGGCTGGTTGATCAAGGGTTGTAAAAGCAAAAATAGATGTCAAGCTTGGGGGCTTTCTTGGCTCATCTCTAGTTTTCTAGAGCTTTCTTCATCATGGCTAGAAGGCAGGAAGTTTAAGTGTTTGTCTAGTAGGTGTTTTTCAGTTGGAATTTTTGGTGCTAGCAGACTCTCATGCCTCACCAGACTCCCAGTGATTATTTTTCTAAATGGAGAAGGAACAAAACATTGGCAGAAGATTAAACAACAGCTGGCAAAAGTGAAGTGACACAAACACAGAGTGCGTAAAGCATCCATCCCAGCTCTGGGTTTTACATTTGAAGTCCCAAAATAAGCCAATGGCAAGTTATCTTGGGGCTCTTCAGAATCTTTGAAGTTGCTAAGTATCCCAAATTTTATAATTGATTTAAGTAGGGGCACTGGGGTTTTCCTCTGGAGTCAGAGAAGAACTGCAGGTCAGTGCAGTAGCTTCTTACATGATGCCCTGAGTGTTGCCAATGTTTTGACCATCGACGCAGAGCTCTCCTTTAATAACATTTGCTTAATGCTTTAATTAATTAACAACTTAACCTTCTCTTTCCCTTTTCAACCCTTTTTCTCCTCCCTGTACTATATTCCCACGTAACTTAAAAAAAATTAAAACTCAATATCAAAGCAGGCAATGCATGTGTGGCTATGCCTCACAAAATAGGTCGGATTATTGAGGGGAGCCCTGCTGACCGATGCGGCAAGCTGAAAGTAGGAGACCGGATCTTGGCGGTAAATGGCTGTTCCATCACCAACAAGTCCCATTCAGACATTGTCAACCTAATCAAAGAAGCAGGAAACACAGTTACCCTCCGCATCATTCCTGGGGATGGTAAAGTATACCTGTTGTGTCTCTCTGTATCTCTTTTTCTGATATCTCTGTCTCTTGATTTCTTTATCATTAGTGTTCCTGTAATTGAATAGTGTTGATTTAAGACAGTCTTATCCATCCTTAAGGGAACATACCCATCAAACAAATGTGAGCCATTGTTACCAACCCTTACCTCACCCTCTGTACTTCATCCTCTAGCCTTTAATACCTGTCTTGGTGCAGATATGAACACTTCAAAAAGTCTTCAACTTTCCCCAATTGATTTTGGTTTGGGTGCCCTTGGCTTTAAAACAATGTAATAGTTTGAATACAGGTGATAAAGACCTCCTAATATTCCATCTGGAAATCACTAAGGATTTTTCTTTAAATAATTACTAAAATTTAACTGTATAATATGGTGACATCACAAAATCTACATAATGACATAATGTCAGTGCAGAGCCAGTAGTGGTTTTTTTTCCAGAGTAAATGAATGTATCTAATTTTTTATTTAATTTGGAGAGTCTTGTGGTTTTGTTTAGCCTTGATTTGTTTCTAACTTTTACATATGAATAAAGAAGGAATTAAGTCTCTGTATTTTTATTTAATTGCAGGTTATCTCTACATTAAACTGGCCAGTTCTTTCTTGGTTGGTTGGTTAAATGCAGATCTTTGGTTCTTTTCCAGCAGTGGTGATGTTCCCCCCACCCCACCCCCACCTCCACTCCCTAGCATATTTGGCATTGTCTGGAGTGAATGCTTATGGCATATAATGGGTAGACCCAGGGATGCTTCTGAACATTCTACAGTACATTGGACAGCTGCCCCCCCAAAAGTTATCCAGCCAAAAATGTCAATATTCACTGTATTATTCATATTTAATACAAGTGAAGTTGATACACTAATGTCACCAAGTATAGGTTTTTCAGAGAATTAAGTCCTGAATATTGACCTCATTTAAAGTAGATTTGGCCCTTGGAAGGAAACTGATTACATGTCCCAAAATATTTCATTGTCTTTTTTCATTTTTGCTATGCATGTGATAAAATAAAATATTCTAAAAGTCAGTATTTCTCAAGAAGAAATGTGGCTTTATAGAGCTACTGTGATACAAATGTTATACCATTGATATGTAAAATTTTAAAAATTAGAGATATTTATCTAAACATAATTCACCAGATGAATGTTTTCATATGTGAATTATTAGAAAGTGAGCTTTATAATTTAACAATTGGATAGTATAGACTATGTCTTTCAAAAAAAGTAAACCCCAAATCGAACAATAATATTGAAAATTGTTGGTTCCAAAAAGAAAGAATTTGCTTTGCACAAAAATACCCCATACAAAACATTGAGGAAAAATTAGCTCCTTGAATGATGGTCTCCTCCAGACTATCTCAAATGCATGGTTAGTAATGGACCATCTGGTCTGGAGTCCATTCTACCAGTTCACCACCCTGGAAAGCTATTATAATTTAGGAAAGTGATCACAAGATGATAGAGCATAAGTTCCTTATGGAAAGGATGAAGAAAACCAGAAAAACTAAATAAGAAATGGTTGAGACAAATGTAGTATATAAATTTAGACACATGGAGAGATTTCAAAAAACTAGTCCAAAAGAACTGGACACAGGAATTGACTTGCTGAATCTATATTGGTCAGCCTTATGTAGAATGACAGTGTCCAAAGGAAAAAAAGCACATCCTTGAGGAAAGGGCTTGGCAAAAAAGTGTGAAGTCAGGAAAGACAAAAATATACAGAAACAACTTATACTACTGTGCATGTACTAAGTGTTGACTTGATTTTTAAAAAGTGCAATGGAAAATACTTTTGGAAAACCTGAACAACAAAAAATATAATGCATGGTGAACTATCCAATAATAGTTATCAATGAAAAGACATTTTTTTAAACTTGAATATTTCAAAATATGAACTTCAGATAGAAATATCTACAGAGAGTTTTGTTTAGAAGAAATAAACATTGGAATTGATACAATATAGTTAAGGACTGATGCACTGCTAAGGATGCAATTTCACAATTTCATCCAAGACACTAAGGAATTTGTTGCCATGGTAATAAAACTCTCCATCAGTTATTGTGTAAGTTTTGGAGGCCAGAAGTCAGTCAAGTCTGACATAGGTGGGCTTATAATACTCATCTTGTAACTGGGGCCAAAAATTGCTTTCTTGGAAATTAGCATTGAGGCAGGGGAGTTAGATTTCTGAGCTGAGGCTGGAACCACCCCGGAGGTTTTTACACTTTGATGAAGGGAAATGCATGGTGGTACCACCTCCTCTCTGTGAAAGTGGTTTAAACATGTTGGATTGTAAGGAAAGGGAGGTGTACTCTTGTCTCCATCAGATCTTTCACTCTAATATTTAATTCATCAGGTAGCCCAAAGACAGTTTGTTTTGTGATCCTCATGAGGAGACTGAATTTCTCAATCAGAATGATTTTTAAATCTCTTAGAAATCCATTTTGTCCAGAGAACTATTCTCAGAAATCCTAGGAGGCATTTCAGGAGGATGCACTCTTGGTTAGCCAGTGCTTGGAACCCCCTCCAAATCCACTTCTTTCTCTTACTCATGCTGCCTAATTCTTTCTTCTTATCATCGTTCACCTCTTTTTTTCTACAGCTTCACTTATCTGGGTCTATAGCTTTCCTCACTTCTTTGTTTTCCATCTTGCTCTCTCCACTCTCCTTCTCTCTCTGCCAACCCCCTCCAGCAAAGTCTCTGTGACATTTAGATGTTGGACAGGCCTAGACCAGGGGAGGCCTCACGATCTCTGCTTTTACTATATCTGGGACCAGGGTGGGGGTGGGGACGGGACAGATCCTTTTCTCCTATGAGATAAGGGTACAGGATAGGAAGTACATAATGGCATCACAGAAAGGCCCAGAGAAGAGCTGACTGTACTGGTACTAAGTGAAGCTTGACCGGAATTACCTGCTGAGCTAAAGCCAGCCCCTGACTATACTGAACTGGAACTTGAAATCTGACAAATTCAGCCACATATGCTTCCTACCACTTGTGTTGTATAGAGATGCTCTCTGAAGTCTGGATGGAAATGAGACTTTAATCAGATAGGGTAGACCCTGAGTGAGCCAGGCTAACATGGGACCATCAGACTGAGTTAAGTTCAAGATGATGAGAATATTTATGAGCTTAAAAACATATTACTTAAATTATGGTCATAAATTTGTAGTGCTTATCACTCTGATTCAAAGTATTTGCTTAAATAAGAGGTAGGGCTTGGCAGCACAGGTATCACAATTTCCTTGGTGAAGGCACAGAATAGTGTGACTTCATCTTAATAGAAGGCTCTGTGGACATGATGCTAGCATAGACTCGGGCAAAGAGAACAGGGTTCCAACCACACACATTTAAAAAGTCTCCCAAAGGCTTCCTTCAGACGTTTATTACATATGTGTTTGTGCATTACAATATTTATAAAAGGAATGTCTGTATCCTTTGTTGATTTGCTTGGCTTTGTAATGTGGATTCCATATGGGAGGTTAAGGATATTACCATGGAAACAAGGTTAGAACTGTAATCTCTTGTCATGGAGATATGTTGAAACCCCAGATAGATGCTGCTGTCAGAAGTTAGTTCCCTGATTCAGCACAGCACTGTGACAGCACCTGGAGAGCTCCCACATGCTTTTCTTGGTGCACAGTTGCTATGCAAAGTATAGTAATATCCATTTTCATTCCTCTGAGGGAGCTAATATAGGTGTAAACACTGTTTAATAAAGGATGTAGGGTACTTTCTGTCATTTATCGTAAAAGCAGCCAATCTGGCCCTCTGCCTTGGAGTTTTAAAAGTCAAATACATTGACACCCCTTCACAGTACTGCCGCTGGAGCCTACTCTTATATCAGGCTCTTCTTTTATATTTTTTCTATTATAGGCAGTAAATTTTACTTTGGAATAGAGCTATGAGTTTATGATAGTGGGCTTCATTCCTCTATTTTAAAACAGTGGGGGGAATTTCAGCACTTAAAGTCTTGGTTCATTCTAAATGAAAACTTAAAAGTTTCCAGACCTTGGGTATATTGCCTGCCTTTTCTAAGCCTCAGAGTCTCCATCTATAAAATGAGGGTACTAATTACATGTGTTTCATTGAGTTGTGAGAATTAAAATAAATAATGAAATAATGCATGTGATACAGCACCTGGCACAGTTCTTGGCACAGTGTAAATTATTAGGAAATGGTGGTTGTTCCTAGATTAAGAGAAACAACAAGGAAATTCAAGAAGCTCAAATAGGCATTGATTAATTTTTGTTTCTTTTGTAGATTCTGGAGACAGGATAAGGGAGGGAGGAGGAGGGAGAAAATCACTGGTGTAAGAGAGAAACATTGATCATTTGTTTCTTGCATGTGACCCAACCGGGGACCAAATCTATAACCTAGACACATGCCCTGACGGGGAATTGAACCAGGCATCTTTCAGTTCGTGGGAAGACACCCAGCCAACTAGGCCACACTGGCCAGGGCTGCATACTAAATGTTAATTTTTTAAATGCTTGAAGTTTAGCTTCAACCAAAACAGATTTGCATACAAATCAGTGAAAAATAACAAATGAATTATAGATGGAAAATTAATAAAATAGTTCTGTTAAAATGCATATTGAGTAGTTATCTTTTATATCTCAGTAATCATTAAAGCAGCAGAAATAGAAAAATTGTTTGAGATGTGATCTGCCTGGAGAACTCTGGCTTCCAAAACACACAAGCACTCTGAAGGGAAACCCCTACTCAACTCAGTAATTATAATCACTGTAATTACAAGAGAACATCCTTTTTGGTATCCTGATTATGATTTCCCCATGGCCTGGATGGACCACCTTGTGATTTCCCAGAGTCTCCATACATGTAATCACAGTGAGCAATATCAAGTTTTTTAAAAGGTCCAATACAAGTGTTTATGAAATGCCTGGTAAATCATAATGAGAGGCTGTGCAGTGTTAGCCCTTTGTATGTGCACAGTGGGCTATACTTCATGAAATATTTTAAATTTATCACCTTGACTGTACCAGTTAACTGCAATCATAAAAATATGCTTTTAGTATTATAACAGTAATAAACACATACTACCAGTAAAAATTGCCAAGCATTTTGGGGGCAGTTTTTATGTTCTAGGCATTATCACACACACTTTTCTTTCAGATCATCATTGCACCAATTCTCTAACATATATCTGTTCTCCCACATGTGCAGTAGAGGAGACTGAGGCATAGAAAGTTTAACTTTGCTAAAGTCCCAGCTGGTAATTGCAGAGCTTGGGATGCAAAGCCAAATAGTCTTGACTTCAGAATCTGACCTACTTACTGTTATGCTAAACTGCCTCCCAATAAACTTGAGAAGCCTCACCACCCCTACTCAAAGGGTTGCAAAGCATAGTGACATGATTAAAGGTTTGGAGGAGTCCTTAGGAAAGAAAACACAGACATGAAGGAACATTTCTCTCTGTTCAGTATCACCCTTAATTGAACACAGGTTCCTTTTCCTTCAGAATCTGCAGAAACATTTGTCAAAACAGGTTGTGAGAAACAGTGTCCTAATGAAGGAGCAGGATACACATTTCAGTTCACTTGATCCAGTTACATTTTCTTATTAACTTGTACCGTGGCTGTAACAATCATGGGCTTTATGGTTGGAATACAAACTGTTAAAATCATATTTCGACTTTCTCATTGTGCAGAGAATTTAAATAATTTATACAAGTTCCACAGCAGTAAATAAAAAGTAGAAGCAGTGGCAAGGGCCAGACCTTCAGGAAATAAGTATTGAGTGCTTACTGTATGGCAGGTGCTGTTCTAAACATTTCACACATTTCCAAGGGAAGGGAACTAATGCCGTTGCCCCCTTCTATCAGATGAAGAAGATAAGTCACTCAGCTGATAAGTGAGGAAAGGAGGATTTGAACCTGGGTTTCAGTCTCAGGCCCATGCTTTCATGAACTGTGTGTAAGGAAAATGAACACATAATGGAAGATAGACCACAAGTGATTGGGATTTGAAGGGTGTCTTTTCACATAGGACTGTAATGAAAAGAAATGTAGCCCCGGTATCCCAGGTGGGGATACTTAACATTTCCCCATAGAAACTTTGTTATACATCTTGGGTAGATATATGTGTTTGATAAACATTAGAGTACTTCCTATAAGCCAAACGACTTCTAGAAACTTCTAGACTTCCTGACACACTGTGAATTAAACAAGCATTTATGGGCGAATCTTAGAATCTAACTATCATATTTAGCATTTTCTTGAATAGAAAACTTATGCCATGTTCCAACAGTCAACCTAAAGATAAGTGCAACTTGCTCATAGTTGCTTGCTGTCTGCCTTGATCATAATGAGAAATGATTCTTAAAAGAATATATAATTATTACTATATGAATGATTACATTTTAATGTGTGCATTGGTGTGCAGTGTATAGACATGCGCATGAATGTTTCCAACATCTGGGTCTCCACACTTCTAGAGATTAATGAAGTTGCATATGAATGTGGTTAGTGGAGAAGAAAGTCAATTTACATAGGAATATAATCATGTCTATTATGTTAGGGTGGCTTCATAATTTATACAACTTATATTTACAAACTCTAGCTCTAACAAGTGCAGATTTTAAAATTAATTTCTCATGAGTGATACTAGACAAGATCTGTCAAGAACTCCACATTTTCAGTTGTACTTCGTTAACAGCAATGGGGAAGTAAACGGTGTGTTTTTAACAAGACACTGCACATTTCTAAATTTGACATTCATATGAGAAAATTAAAGATTAATTAAATATCACTAATAAATTGCAGGAAATGTTTGGAAAGATATTTATTACCAGTCTGTGAAATTCTAGGAAGTCATTTTGGTGCAGTACAGTGTTTCGATGGGACTGCCGTGTGTAACTGATGGGGGAGGAGTGAGAGACACCTATCTTGGATGCAGCTTTAGGGGAGTGTTTTCTTGGGCAAACTATTTCCTTTGTTGGGATGTCTGATTGGAAAAAGGGGAATGGGATTTACATGGCTCACATCATAGAGTATCTTAAAGTGGTACTTTAAAGTCTTAATTATTGACAAATTGAAGCCAGAGCTGCTTGAAATGGTGACAAAGAAGCCCAATTTGTCATTCAGACATGGGGCTTGTGGATACCTCCTAGTTTGACAGTGTCTTCTCTGGGCCCACATTTCATTGTGCTCTGTCTCATCCTACAGAGTCTTCGAATGCCACTTTGCTAACCAATGCGGAGAAGATTGCCACCATCACCACCACACACACCCCTCCTCAGCCAGGGGCCCAGGAGACCAGGTCAGACACGGCTGCGGTTTCTTTTGTTTGTTTAAAGCGGGGAAAAGTAACTCCTGGCATGATGACACTCCTCATTCGTTCTTTCTCAGTTTCCCCACGGGTTGCTTTTATATATTTCTTTCACTTTAGCAGGAATACCACCAAACCAAAGCCGGAATCTCAGTTTGAGTTCAAAGCACCCCAGGCAACACAGGTGAGGGCCGTTTTTTTTTCCTGTTTGCTTTGTACGTGTCTTCCAGCTTTCTGAAGCTATTTTTATGAGGTATCTTTTACAAGGTACCTCAATGAAAATAAATAACCTTTTGTGAGGCAATGCACTAAATATGGACTCACATTGATTGTCTAGGAAATGACATTTTATTTTACTACCTTTGAAAAATATTTCTAGATATCCTTTTTGGGGGGAACAAAATAAAAAGCTGTAATTGGTGACCAATGGAAGAGCAAAACAGCTGATACCTGCTCATGGTATTCCTAATTGCATTTATGCTAAGATGTCTTTTTCTTCAGGTATGTCTCAGACCTGTGAATTTCAGGTGGGACCCATAGAGCAAACAACTGTCCCTTACAGTGGTGATGGAGGGTATGCAAGTAATAAATAGCAGGTGAAGCCAATTTGGGAAACATTGTACAATACAAAGTTAAACCGGTTCCTTTTTTACTGGCCTTCCAAGCCTTTTGGTATTCTCATAATGAGCACTGCTGGCATTTTTCGGTCATTGGACAGGGAGGCTGAACATCCTGCCATTTGCAGAGTGTCATGTAATGATTTTTCCCACAATAAATGGAGAATTGCAGCCTCACTGATTTAAATTTTGATATGTGCATGCTCTCATGCAGTCTACAGGCACACTCATGGATGTTTTCAACTTCTGGATCTCCAAACTTCTAAGGTTAATGGATATTAATAAACAAGTGAGAATCACCAAGAGGGGGATAGTGATTATGGCTTTTGGTCAAATCATCATAATAGAGAATGCTTGGGAAGAGAAGGAGAAAAATATGTGTGGATACAAGTTCTCCCGGAATAATTACATTTAATTTTTTTTTAAATAGGAGCAGGAGTTTTACACTGTGGAACTGGAAAGAGGAGCCAAGGGCTTTGGCTTTAGTCTTCGAGGGGGTCGCGAGTATAACATGGACCTCTATGTTCTGCGCTTAGCAGAGGATGGTCCTGCAGAAAGGTGTGGAAAGATGAGGGTAAGTCAGAAGAGGAGTCCAGAGTCAAAGTAAATACATCATCTGTAGTGACTTTTTGATGTTATGTGGCTAGAAAGTTCTTCATGAGAATTTCATTTTTTACAGCTTTCAAGATAGTCAAAATACATGAGTCCCACCCTAGTATAAATCTCTCCCTGAAGCATAGTTAGAGGTAGCTGCCAAAGTTCAGTGAACCCTTTCAATTCTTTGGGGTTGGAAGAAGGAGTAAAATTACTTACAAAATTATTGAAGGAGATATTTTCTGAATATCATTTCATACTCCTTATACTTAATCTCATGAGGCAGACCTGTCACTTGATAGGAATTCCGAGGTGTACCAGGATGCCTAGAGAGCAGGAAAGCTCTGTAGTTCTGTAGGTTTTGGGTGGTGAGCTCCATTTGGTCGCTAGCTAGTCACCAGCCATCTTACCTTAGCCTCAGCAGCATTTGACCCTCAGCAAAGGGACAGTCACTCCATGGCATGAATATTCAGGGTCACTCTATAGTAGTCAAAGCTACAAAATTTAAATACAAAAATCCACTCTGCTCTGTTTAGATATCTAATATCTGTTATTGCATACGAATGTGTTGCTCTCCTTGGCAGATTAGATGACTAAAAAAAGAAAAATCATGTGCTTGCTATAGATAGATCGCATAGATCAAGACACACACATAGGAAGCAATTGGCAGCAAATTAAAAAAAATCAGGAGTCAGGTCAGGAAAAGAAAAAAGTGAATGAAACTGGGCCTTGGGCAGAAAGAGGGAAAAAGTGACCAAGGGTAGGGAACTTAATACTTGTACTTAAGACACAATCTTGAATTTTAAGTTTCTTCGGATTGAATTTTTTCATGCATATTCTTTTCCATTGGGGAAGTAGACCATGTAGGCAGCTTTAAAAAATTAAACAGTAAAAAGTGTTACATAATTAAAATACAGTTTCCTGGATCAAACTGCATATCAGTTTCTTCATGCACATGCATGCACAATTGGTGCCTGTACAAGTCAATATACAGGATCCGGCAGAAGTAACACCTGTTTGAGTGTGGGTGGTAAGGTAATAATATGGGTGTAATGATTTATAGTTTTAATTTGAGCATTTCACCTAAAATGTCATATGATGTGCTTCAGTGTGATATTGTTATGTTACAGAATTACATGCTTATGATTTTGTAATAAAAAAGGCATTATTTGTGCTGGACCCTGTATACTGGTATATATTTCTTTTATTTAAACTTCAAACACATGGGATATGCTTTTTCATGTTTTTAGTCACTTAAGAGAGTTTCTGATTGAATGAAATACTATGATCATGGTATTTTGTATAATGCTATGTAGATCACAAGACATGTTTACATGTATTGTCCAATTTCAAATCCTTAGCTTGGTAATAAGCATGGGATATTATCATCTCCTTCTACAGGAGAGGAAGTAAACTCTGAGAAATTAAAAGGACTTGGGCAAGGTCACTTAGCTAACAAACAATAGGCACAAATTCAGGACTTTAAAAGTCCAAAGCCTTGTAGAATATAAGTTCCATGACAGCAAGGATCTGGCCTGTTTTGTTTATTCCTCTATCTCCAGTGCATGGAATAGAGGCTGACACATAGTAAATGCTACAGTTAATATATCTGCCAGATTGCCATCTCCTCTGAAGACTCTGCTGGGGAAGTACTTGCTTCCAAGCTCACTCACAGGGTTGTTAGCAGGATGCAGTCAGTGCCTGTCAGGCAGCTGGCCTGGGCCTCCCATATGTCCTTAGCATGGACTCCATAGGGCAGCATGCATGAGAGTGAACAAGTGAGAGAACAAAAGAGGGCAACAAGACAAAAGCCAGAATCATTTTGTAACTTTATCTTTGAACCAACCTCTCATCATATTTGCCATATTCTGTTTGTTAGAACAAGTCACCAATTTCAAACCTCATTCCAAGGGAAGAAAATTACATAGGATGTGAATATAAGGAGGTGGGGATCACTGAGGGCCATCCAGAAGCTGCTTACCACATCCTCCTTTCTTCAACAATTAATATTCCCTTTACTGTTTTATTAGTTTTTTCCATAGCACTTAATACTGTCTAACATAGATGTAATTTTCTGATTTTCTTGTTAATTGTATTTCCCCCATTAGAATGTCATCTCCATCAAGGCAGAGATTTTTTCCCTGTTGCATCCTAAGCCATAGATTTTTCTAGGGTACATTCAATAAGTATTTAGGTAATCAATAAATGAAAGAATTTTAAATAATAAAACACTTCAATAGCTGGTGAAACTCTTTTATGATGTTTTCACTTTTTTCTCTCTTGCTTTGAGCAGATCGGTGATGAAATTTTAGAGATCAATGGTGAAACCACCAAAAACATGAAGCATTCTCGGGCTATAGAACTGATTAAGAATGGTGGCCGCAGAGTGCGTCTGTCTCTGAAGCGGGGAGACGGCTCAGTACCAGAATATGGTGGGTCAAACTATGAAAACATTCCTTCCTTCCCTGGCATGACTCCATGAATTTGTCTCCAGAACTACAGCAGGAAAGTCTTTTTGTTTTCCCTATTCACCAGTGTCTTACCAGCCTTTCGCACCATGTGATTATTTGCCTCGTTTGTTCTGAAATCTCTACACATTTCATCCTTTTGCTTGCTTACATGGACTGGGGCATGGTCTAAGACAAGATCTTTACAGCCCCCTTTCTGATAATCAGAGAGAACATTTTGTCTAGTCCGACCAAGAGCGAAGGAATGATTGTTTGAACTGTGCCAAACTGTTTCTCAGATCCAATTGTTAGCACAAAATGACTATACTCCTTTTAAGAAGCAGGAAAGCAGGTTTCCTGAGTGATATGTTGAGGCACAATTCTTTTTTTTTCTTTTGTGGTAACCTGATGTCTTATTTATGAGACGTGAAACTTTGAGATTATTTGGGGCCTTGCTTACCTCCTTTTATGCTCTGTATACAACACTTCTGCATCCCCACCTCTGGTCCCTGCCCCAACCCAAACCACCTGAGCCCATTACTAGAAAACAGACAAAACTGTTGATATGTTAGCCATATGATGTTAAATGATAAAAGGTGAAATACATTCCCAGTGCCCATCATGAGGGAAACACATGATTATACCTTTCCTATGGGGAAAGCCAGATTATACAGAGTTCCTTTGTCATATCTATAGACATGATTTGACTAAACAGCAATGATCTTTACCTAGCTTAGTGTCCTGATGGCAAAATATTATATATTATAATAATTATGTCCTATTTATTTGAGATTATTGTTTAAAAATTAAAAAAGAAAAAAAGCTATGCCCTAGATGTAGGGCTTTTCTTCCCAACCAAAGGTCTACAAAAGTTTCTATAGAAACTGTGATTGAATGGTCCCCACGTACATCAGTCCCCTTTATTAGGGATTTTATCTGTAACCACCCTTTTCTGAAAGTCATTTTGCACAATTCCCAGTTGCATTTTGGACCTGTTGAGATCCTTAATTCAGATGCAGCTCAAGGACAAGATAACTCCTTTGAAGGATAGTCTTCCCAGGTGTTGTACATTCATACAGGTGCAACGTATGAGGGGCCAAGGTGGGGGATGGGTAGTTATCAGATCAAGCCCCCTCAGCTGTAGCCAACCATGCTCCGGGAAGGTGGTCTGACAACACTAAGATGTTACAGCTGTACATACTGAACCATTGATAGGTATATTGATGCCACTGAAACTGTGTAACATTGTTTCCTTTTCTGTCTTCCCTATGCTTCTGTTGGATGTGATATTCCATTTGAGAGTCACCGTCAATAACCTGTGTACCCTCTCAAAACCAATGTCTGTTGCACTGAGGATGAAAATCCAACACTAACAGATGTTCTTTGGGCCAGAAATAAAGATCATTTAAATACTTGGTTTTCCAAGAAGGGTTGAACATGTTAGGATTGTGCTGCTGTAATGTCTCCATGTGTCATTTGGACTAAATCTCTCTAATTCTATTGATTAGACTCACAAATGGGTTATAATATGTTAAGTTCCAATATTTTTCTGACTTGATTGGAACCTGCTTCTCTGTGAGGCTATTTTTGTAATGAGTTTTTTGTACTTAATTTAACTGCCGCGGTCTTAAGGGGGGGTAGGAGGAACTTTGTTCTTTTGTTGTTTATTGTTAATGCTTTCCTATGCCAGCCTGTCATTGTTCCAGTTGTTTGAAAAAAAAAGAAAGAAAAAAGGATGCATCTATTGTCTGGGTCCTCGAGTCACCTTATATGGCTGTCTAAAAACGTCACTGTTCTGATTGCGGTCTCTGCAGCCTTATTTGAGTGTTGCCTTAGACTGTCTGACTGGACAAATAAACTCTCTTTGCCCTATGTTAACAAATGCAGATTTTTTCTTTCCTCTTTGTTATAGGGAATCTAAATGTTCAACTTTTTCTCTTTCTCTTTCTCTTTCTCTCTGACTGTTCTTGGTGCTGGCCCCTCCCTTCTACAGCGATGATACCTCCTAATATCGCTGCATGTATGAGAAATGAAAAGCTCGGGGAGGCTTGCTTCTACCTTATGGGCCATAATCAAACTACGGTTTGTAGCTCAATCAATACTAGGTGTTTCTGTGCTGTGGCCTAATTTCCTCATTGCTTCTGCTTAGCTCTATTTTGGTATGTTTGGCAATTCATTCTGAGCACCCTGCGTTCTTTGAATTGTAAGTACACCGCTGACCCTGTTAAAGTCTTGCTGTCCCTTATCTTAAAAGTTAGGTGTAAGGAACCCCAAGGCTAGATTTATGATAATGATCTAAGCACCTCCTCTCACCCAGATCTTAAAATGACTTGTATTAATTCTAATAGGCTACCTAGCATTTAGAAAGAACAAACATCATATCACAGAGCACTCACCTAGGTATGTAGGTATATATAGGGCTTTGCTAGACAAGATGAAATTTCCTGCTTGATCAGTTATCTCTTGGCAAAGGGCAACTGATGAGCCAAAATGTGCACAGCATGTTTTTACAAGTAAAGTTGAGTAACACAACACATTTTATGTGTTGTCTAAGGGTGCTTTTATATGACAGTGCCAGAGTTGAGTAGTTGTAACAAACTAAGTGGCCTGCAAAGCCAAAAATGTCAATTCCTTGGCCCTTTACAGAAAAAATTTGCCAGCCTCTGTTCAAGGCTATATTCCTACTTTTGTTAACACCTACCTAAGGTTTTGGGAAATCATTCATGAAACAGATTGCTTACTATTGAGCTTGTTGCTTCATGAAAGATCTTTCAGAGCATCCACTTTGTCTCTGTTACTGTCCCCCTGGTTTGCCCACCATGCTGCAGCACACCATCACCGGTGCCTTGCCGAAAATGGTGTAGTGGTATCTAGGACCTGTTGAGTTCAGTGGTAACAAAGTAGCTATGCTTTGAAAGAGCTCTCATAAATTCAGGATGTCACCTACACGCGCACTGTTATTTTAAATAGTTTAATAGTAAACCAGAGCCCATGAGTGTTGCCCTGCTTTTAAATCTGTAGATATCTTGATGTTATAAGAAGCAGTCCAGTAACTCCATGGCTCATGGGTGGAATGATGGCTGAGTATAAAGAAAAGTGCCTCTAAACTAAAGACTTTATCTGAACTCCATCTGATGTAAGCTGGGTCCCTCACAATCTCCCTTCCCCTCCTTTTTATCTGTCAGAAGACTCCATATTTTAAAAAGTTTCTTAAACTCACACAAAATTAAATAGCTGAATAAACATGGGCAAGGGCAGAGAAAATGTTTAATGGACCCTCACTTAATGTCACCTTTGCCAGTTGTCCACATCTGATGGTATTGGCTCCATAGAGCCAACCACCACCCTGGATTATTATTTTCTAAATAAAAATATTTTAAAATAGATGTATACTGTGCATACACTAAAATGCCTAAAGCCTAACTATACAGTGCAGTGAGTTGTCACCTCTGTGTGCAACCATTTAATTACCACCCAGATCAAAACATAGGCTTCTAACATTCCCCCAGAGAGTTCCCTCATGCCCAGATTATTTTTAAGTAAATTTTTTAAAAGTCTTCTTTAAAGGAAGTATTTTCTTTCATGGGGACAGGGGAGGGGTGGAGAAGGGTTGGTGGGTGGGGGAAGAGCAAGGGGTAAAGTGGGAGCGTTTGGATACATGTAGATACCTATAGACAGACAGACTATTGATAAGGGCATGCCTTTATGTTCTAAGTTCCTTTAATCGTCTATGTGTTGAGTAGAGAGAATAGTAGGGTAGACCCTAAAAGCCGTGCGCACTAGTTTTTAACTGAACTAGTTGCAGTTACACTTAACCAGGACTCAGCTGGCTTTGATTCTGACCGCTGTAACAGTTGTGTGTTTGTTGTCACTAATGAGAGCTCAAGCGTGGAAGTGGGGACAGGAGCCCAAGGTTCTTCTCACCCAAATGTCACTCTCATTTACTTTCCTGCAGACCCCGGCAGCGACCGGAACGGCGCCTCTGCCGGTGCACAAGGTGTCCCGGAAGTGAGGCCCGGGCCGGCACAGGGTGTCCCGGAAATGAGGCCCGGGCCGGCCGGCCGCAGGCCGCACCCGCCATTGGAGTCCAGTTATCTACCCGATCTTCACAAATCATCACCACATGGGGAAAAGCGGGCACATGGAAAAGATTCAAAAGGCGGCCGAGAGTACGGCAGACAACCCAACGAGCATCACACATGGAACGGAACTTCCAGGACACTCGACAGCGGGGCTTGCCGACCCAAGGACCGGGCGTCCGAGGGGCGAAGAGAAGCCCCACCTGAGCGGCTGGTGACCAATGGCCCCACGAGGAGGTCCCCAGAGAAGCGGAGGGAAGGCACCCGGAGCGCTGACAACACGTTGGAGAGGAGGGAGAGGCACGACAAGAGAAGAGAGATTTCTCCTGAGAGGAGGCGAGATCGGTCACCCACCCGCAGAAAGGACAGCTCGCCCAGCCGCCGTAGGAGGTCTCTCGAAAGGCTCCTGGATCAGAGAAGATCTCCAGAGCGAAGGAGGGGGGGCTCGCCCGAAAGGAGAGCAAAATCGACTGACCGCAGGAAAGCGAGGTCCCCCGAGCGGAGGCGAGAGCGGTCTCTTGAGAAAAGGAACAGAGAGGACAGAGTCAGCCAACGAGAAAGAGAAGAGCCGAGCCTGAAGCAGGATGCCAGCAGAAGTTGCAGACATCCCCCAGAGCAGAGAAGGAGGCCTTACAAAGAATGCAGCACCGACCTCAGTATCTGAGCTCTGGGTCACATTCCAACCTTTACCATGTCAAAGGTTCTATGAGGAAGTTCACAAACCTGAAATACTTTAGTTTCTTACCTAATGAAGCATCTGACACCTGATGATCCTATGAACAGCAACAAACATTTTATGCATTTGAAATCTTATAAAAATATATATGAAAAGTGTTGTGCCTGATGTATAATATTAAAGAAAGTATTTTTAAATGCATACTTTTTTGGAAATTATTTGCCAAATGCTGCCCCAAAGGGATATAAATTTTGTTTCTACATGAACTGTAGAATTGTCAAGAATTGTTCCCTTTTGGGGGCAATCTCTCTCCTGATTAAATAGGGCTGTTGATCATTTTCACTAAGTAAGGGACGTTATTAAGTTTAATTAATTTGATATAGACTGTTATGTAATGATGTAGTGCTATACTGTAGTTAGGAGATTTCCTTTTAAATAAAAAAGCAAAGCTATATTTGTAAAAGCTGAGAACTCGTTGAGATGGGTTAGGATTGCCAATGATCCTAAAATCAAGCAAACTGTATGAAGAGACTACTATTGCAAATGAAGGATATAGGAAACCTACACGGCACACACAAAAACATTATGTTCTTGAGTCATAGTTGGTTCAGAAAACAGTTTGGACTCCCCCTGGCCATAGAAAGGCATAGAGAGGAAAAGGTTGGCCACCATTATCCAAGTGCAGATGGTAAGGTTCATTAGCATCACCAACATCTACTAAGATTTCATTAAGGCAGTGCTGCCACAGCTTCAGTCAACTACTGGAAGGAATGGACCAACAAACACCACCTGTGTTGTCATGTCTGATTTGAAGCTTAAGAGTAGATGGAGTGAGGGACAATGTGCCCAGTGTGAAGGAGCCATAAAAGTCCACAATACAGAAGGTTATTCTGTTCCCTCTTTTTAGCATAAGGCCATGGCTGCCCTTTGCCAAATTGGGGAGAAGGGAATGTGCCTTGGTGGAGTTAGCTCTTTGTTGAATTTTAGGGTTGGAGGTGCTTATTCTTAGAAATGCTGATTTCCCTTTGAAACTAACTGTCTCCAGAATGAATGAAGGAGAAGGGACGTGATCTCAATGGTTGTAGATCTAGTTGGCAAACTTATGTCTTCATGACCCTGTCCTTGGAATTTTGGGACAGCAGAACAAAACATAATTTTCCTTTTTAGAAAAGACCTATTCTTTTGGCAATCCCACATAAGGTGTAGTTGGGTCGGGTGTAGCCCCGGGAAGTGGTTGAAATGGATTACTGCCTAGCTGAGCCAAAATGTTTGCTTGTACTTGTTGGACCACTATAGTAAACCGCTGCTTACAATACATTGTGTATTTCTGTAGTACTGTTTTGCATTTTCCATACAGACACAAAACTTTGCGAGTCAATCACTGTTGTTCTCATGGTACTGTTTTTTAAAAAGGGAAAAAAAGAACAAAGAAAACCAGCCAATCATTGTGTGTACAGAGTTAAAAACTGTAATTAATAGAGCCTGTTTTAAAAAAATGTTGCCTTTTTTTCCTGTATAAAAGAGAATTTATGACAAAAAATTTAGGTATGAGGAATGTGATGTGTTCATATTTCTGAATATGGAAAAAATTAATTGGGATATATTTTAATGTAAACTAAATCAGGTATTGTAAAGCTGTTTTAAAGTGGGAGACTGTATAAGTAATTCTCTAAAGCTTTAGTTGGTTTGAATATCATCATTTCCTCCATGGTGAGCCTGCTTGCGAATTATTAAGCACTTGTTTGCATTCTGTTCTTCACTCATTTCTTGCAGTGTGCTATGGATTTAATGCTGTTTATTGATGAAAAGCAGTATGCGGGCCAATCTTTTTATAAAACACTATGCATATATAAATATTACATTGTTCATAGCTTTATTTGACTTATGGGTTTATACATAACATTGGAATGAGTAGCTGTAGTTGTGTGGACATTCACAAAACAAGTTCATTTCCTCGAACAGACACAATGAACATTCTATATCTAAAAAAGAGGGAAAAGTCTGTGACTTTTATTTTTTTTTCAAAGTTTTCCATAGAAAGCATACATTGAGCTGTAGCAGTAAGGCTGAGAAAGAATACAACTGAAAATGATGTTCTTTTTTATCCATTTCCAAAGAACCAACTTGGAGACTTTATTCCTAAGGTTCCACTGCTAGGAATTTTCTCACTATTTCTAGCAAAATCTTTGTTGTTAAATGATCAATGCTCTCAGTTGTGGTCCAGAGTCTTAAATAAATGAAATCAAAGTAGATTTGGGGAGTATGTCCTGAACTTCATATTTTGATGTCTTACTTGTCCTCAAAGATGACATTTGACATTTGAAAATCTGTGTGCTACCCACCTGCGCCTATCTCAATCTGAACACTTTTGGTGTGGCAGTTTCCTCTGAATTCCACACAGATTTGCTTTGGAAATAACTGTACTGTACCGGGAATATGCACTAAGCAGAAAGATATAGTTTTCTCTGAACTACTGTAACCTTAAATTGGAGACTGATTCTTGTGAGCCTACTTTTCCTAATCCCCCACTTCATGTAAATGTTTTGATGAGAGATGATGGATGAGTATTTTGTACAATGAAATCAAACAATTTAGAAATTTTCCTCTCACCCATTACACAGTTAATGCCTGGAAGAATGTGGGGGGAAAACTCAACACCCTACTTGTATTTTTTAAGTTTCTTTTGTGAAATAATTTTTAATGCATTTTTACTGTAAAAATACATGGAAATGTATGCATTCCATAACCACTACCGCTTCTGGATTGGTATCTTTCTTGTCTCCATGTTGTCTCAAATGTATCAATGTTAGGTAGTCAAGTGAGTGTGTCTGGCTCCAGCTGGTTGAAATACACCATTCCTTTCACAGAGAAGGAATTACACCTTTGCAGCAGTGTGGGACCTAGCTACTTCAAAGTGGTCCATCGACCAGCTGCCTCGTTATCACTGTAGAACCTCTTAGAAATGTGGGATCTCAAGTCCCACCCAGAACCTACTAAGTTAGAATGTGCATTTGACAAGATCCCCAGCTAATTTGTATGCTCAGGAAAGTTTGAGGAGCATAGGAGAGCTTGGAATCCTGGTAATAAGAAAAGCCTTCAAAAACAAAAGGCATTATCACCTCCTACCTGTGATCACCTCCTACCTCCTACCTGGGCAAGTTCCTTAACTTCTTTTTAAGCTTCAGTTTCCTTATCTTTAAAAGGCCACACCTCAGAGTTGGGAAGAATAAATGCAAAACAGCACACCTCTGACAATCAGAAGAATCCTCAGTGAAAGACATTTTTTTGAGGAGGAGGAGGAATTATCTGTATAGCAATCAGTATTCTTCTTAAATTCCAATCAAAATAAATATTTTCTTGCTCAAAATGGGGAGGATGGCCTTCTATTTTAATGAAAAAGTTCACGAACAATATGGCTCAAGGTACTTCACAAGTATAATTGTGCTCACCAGTGTTTTGAAATATGAAACCAGAAGCTGTGCTGTGAAAGTTAAGACAAAAATAGTCTAGGAGAGTAACTCTTGGAGATAGAGATGAATGTGGGGTTAGACATACTCCTAACTAGTACTACTAGATGAAAAATTTAACCCATTAGTGAGTGATCCAATAGACAAGTCTTAGTTGATTCTGTAGTTTCTAATGACATTCCAGGTTCCCTCACAGGATTTGGATTGTTTTTTCAGTATAACTTAGTAGTTAGCTTCCTACAGAACCTAAGTTCCCGGGCACTCAAAGGGGTGTTGTGTTTAATAGTAGGCCTTCCTATAATTTCTCTCTTTTGTTGTATTTTGCTTTATTTTGTTACCAACATGATAATTATGGACACTGCTCATTTTACTAATATCTTTTCTGTTAAAGTGGCATCTGGAAATGGTCTCTGGCTTAACTGACAGTGGAAGCTATTTGTAAAGCCCTATGTCACACAAGTTCTTTGTCTGCCATAAATAGTCACACGAAAAAAACATGGGATATGACTCAGTCATAGCTCTCGGGGATTTTTCCTGCTGGTGAGCAGTCTGAGACCACCTTTGATGATCTGCTTTAACTGTGAGAGGAAGAGGCCTTTCAAGTTCCTCCAGGTGGTTTTTCTCATAATCAGGCAACATGATCAGCATTGGGGGTGGGGTGTTCAGCACAGTAAAATCCTACTGCTTTTGGGATACACATCATTTCAAGCTTTGAAGCTGGGAAATGACAAAGCTGGGCACTCTCCAACATAATTATTTGAGGTATTTTTTGTAGGAATGGGCTTTTATGAAAATTTTTGATTTGTTTCACCAGTGAGGTCTTTATACTTCATGCTCATTATCAGGAGCAGAAGTATGGTTTTGTTTTGTTTTGTTTTGTTTTTGTTTGTTTTGTTTTCTCAAGTTGATTTTTTTTTATCATTCAAGTACAGTTTTCTGCCTTTTCTCCCCACCACCCCAGCCTTCCCTGCCTTCTTCCCTTGTTTCCACCCCCCCTTGTTATCCATATGTCCTTTATAAAGGAGTATGGTTTTAATTCCCTAATGTGAGGTGATCCCTGCATCACCACATCTTTTTGAAAGAAGATGGACTTAAGCAAGGTGATATTAACAGTAAATACTCAAGTACTGCATGTGACTGCTACCCTCTATCACCTTTCCACTTCATTGGGATGTCCCAAGAGGTCCACTTGGTCTTCGCAGCCTGGACCTCTAAATACCACACTAAGTGCTGTCCTGTTAAGTATATTTATCCCTCAAGGAATAAAATCTACTTGATCTTAGAGGATCACACAGCTGAACAGAAAGTAGCTCAGAAAAGGTACTAATCTCTAATGTACAATAGAAAAGGCTTGATACTTGATGACTCATTTTCAATACTTACTGAGGACTGACTCTGCCAGGTACTTGGTGGGACTAAACTGCTTCCTGGTTTTGAGAGTTTGTCATCTGGTGGGGAAAGACAAATACCTATAAACCACATACAGAGTCCTCTGAAGGTAATTAATAGAGGTTGTTAGCCAGATTGAGGAAGGTTGTAATTCCAGAAGGTGGAAAAGGAATGAACTGGTGAAAGGGAGTCCCAAGCCCAGACAAGAGTGTGGTACAAAATGGAAGAGCTCACACCACGAGGGGTCAGGCTGACCTTGTTTGAATTTTAGGCTTAAGATTAACAGGAGACCTTTGAAGAGGTTAACGGGGCCGCCAGTGACCTCCATGTGAGTTCAGCCAGAGGATGGTGACCACCTCAAGTTTGAGCTTCAGAAAGATGGCCTCAGAGCAATACAGGGGAGGTTGGGGATGAATCCAGTTAGGCTCTGTGAACCCAGGCAGCAGCCCTTATGAAAAACCAAGGTCAGACAGAATTTCTCAGGGCCAGAATCTCCAGGCCCATGTTTACCATCCTCTTAGAAGAATTCATTTTCCTTCCAACCTAAATTGTTTCTTCTTTTTGCTTTGTACTGGATTGCTTGAGTAAAGTCAGTCATTTACGATGCTATCTGGTTTTCCCCAGGTTTAGAAATTCCCATTTTTTCTTTCAGATCCTGGTTTCAAACCTTCTAATCTTACTTTTACTTTTTGTTTTTGAGATTAATGACATCTTTCTCAATTTGTAGAAGCCCAATTATTATGTCATCTTTGTCACATATTTGTCACGTTTTGAGTATTGAGAGAGGGGCTGGTCCTACGATAGCCTACTTTGAGAAGCAGGTTTTTTAAATTTACAAAACTATACTTACAGCAAAATATTCAAGCATGTCAGGAGAGTATAAAATAAAACAACAGGCTGTTCCTTACCAGCTAAAATACCCCAGCCTCAGAAGTATCTATTGCTAATAATTTGGTTTTGACACTTTTTATCTTTTTCTACTTATATATAAATGTATATACAGTAGTACCCCCCTTACCCAGTTTCACTCTGCTGTTTCAGTTATCAATTGTGGTCTGAAAATATTAAGTGAAAAATTCCAGAAATAAACCATTCATAAGTCATAAGTTTTCAATTGCAGGCCATTCTGAGTAATGTGATGAAATGGTGTCCATCATACATGAACCCCTTTGCCCAGCATGCTGTAGACACTCAGTGTCCATCAGTCACTCGATACTGTCGTGGTGATGAGACCAACCATTAGAGTACCATGGTGCTTGTGTTCATCACCCTTATTTTAGTTAACAATGGCCCCAAATCACAAGAGCTGTGGGTGATGCTGGCAATTCAGAATTGCCACAGAGGAGCTATAAAGTGCTTCCTCTAAGTGAGAAGGTGAAAGTTTGTGACTTAATAAGGAAAGGAAAAAATAGTATGCCAAAGTGGCTTAGCTCTACAGTATAAGTGGATCTATCTGAAATTGTGAAGAAAAAATAAATTTGTGCAAGTTTTGCTGTCATACCTCAAATTGAAAAAGTTATGGCCACAGCACATAAGGGCTTAGTTAGGATGGAAAAGGCACTAAATTTGTGTGTGGAAGATGTGAATGGAAGATCACATTTACATAACTTTTATTACTAGTATATTGTTATTATTCTTTTTTACTGTGAATTATTACTGTTAATCTGTTACTGTGCCTAATTTGCAAACTAAACTTCATCATAGGTATGTAGATATAGGAAAAAAACATAGTATATATAGGGTTCAGTACTACCTGTAGTTTCAGGCATCCACTGGGGGTCTTGAAACGTATCCCATGCACGTAAAGTTTGGGGTTTTGTTTTTACACCAAAAGAATGAGTCATTAAGTACAGTCTGTTTTATGCAATGCACCTTTATCTCATATATTGTAGGTGGTTGTCCATGTCACCATACACACACACATACATATTGTGTGTATATATATTTATATTTATAATATTTATATATACTATCATATACCAAATTTATTCTCATTCTCTGTCTGTCTCCCCTCTCCCAGAATATGGCAGTGGCTCCCTTGCTGCTCTCTTGTCCATGCACCCACACACTTCACCCAGCAGCCAGAGCAATTCTAAAAAGGCCCTGTGTGGTCCAGCCTCTCCTTTCCTCTCTGACCCTTCCTCTCTGACCAGCTCTTCTCCAGCCGTGCCCCAGGCACACTCCCACACCTCCCTGGGGCCTTTGCTTTAGCCCCTCACCCTGCTTGGATAGCTCTTTCCCCAAATGTTCATGTCTGACTCCCTCACTTCGTTACAATCTTTGCTCAAATATCACTCTTGTGATGTGTCAATCAAATGACACATGTGTGTCAATTGTGAATTCCAATGTGTCCCACTCTGACCACCCTGTTTAAAATTGCAACTTGATTTCCCTTCTACTTTTTTCGACTCCATAGCACTTATCTTCTTCTAACATGCTGGATGATTTATGTACTTATCTCTATGTTTTTATCACCTGTCTCCCTCTATAATCTGGGCTGGTTTACAGGCATGCCACCTCTACAGTCACTCGAGGCCTGCACTCAGAAGGGCCCTGAGTTTGGTTTCATGCTCTGCAGTCACTATATTGAAATTTTAGTAATTTTTCAATAAGGAACACTGCCTTTTCAATTTGTGCTGGGTCCCACAAATTATTTAGCTGACCTTATCCACAAGGTAAGTTTCAGAAAGGTAAGGATCTTTGTCCTGAACTCTGGTGAATCCCAAATTCCTGGAACAAGATCACATTTATAGTAGGTGCACATAGCAGGCACTGAGGAAATAGAAGTATTCTGGTTGGTCTCTCTCAGCAGTTCACATCCTGAAGTTAATCACCGTTTATCTAATTAGTCCCTTATGGATTACAAAAGCGTGCTGCAGTGAACAACCTTACAT